CTGCCCCTCGGCCCCTGCTGCTGCTCTTACTACTGCTGCTACTACTACTGCTACTGCTGCTACTGCTACTGCTGCCACTGCTGCTCCTGCGTACTGTGCCCCGATGGCTTCGCTTCGAGTTCTCGCGGCTGATCATGAGGGCAGATCGATTCAGTTTGACATGTGGCTTGACGATCTGCAGCTATACCTACTGAGCGATTCTAAGGACAATGTTTCGCTGTTTCACCTAGCGTCAGGCGCCGCTACTGCCCCTCCCGCCACAGCTGACAGTGCGACTCGCTCACAGTGGCTTTCTCGCGACGCTGCTGCCCGCTTAGCCATTCGCAACCACCTGCCATTAGCCAAATGCGCTCACTTCGGACAGCACAGGACAACGCAAGCACTGTACGATGCTGTAGTCGCTCGCTACTCCTCGCCTGCCACTTCTGCTCTAGGCCGTCTGCTGTTGCCCTACCTGTTCCCCGAGCTGTCAACTTTTGCCACAGTAGAGGACCTGGTTTCCCACCTGCGCACCAGCGACGCTCGCTACCACGCTACCGTCCCTGCTGAGTTCCTTGACAGGAACCAGCCCCCGATGTTCATCACCCTCTACATCATAGTCACTCGCCTCCCTGACTCTCTTCGCTCTGTCAGGGACCATTTTCTCTCACTTGACCCCACCTCCCTCACTGTTGACATCCTCAAGCATCATCTCCTCGCAGCTGAGACTAGTGCAGTTGCTGTAGGTGCTGCTCGTGGCACTCCGCACCCGCCCTTCTTTGAGGGGTGCTCCCCCTCCCCCCTTGGCCCCTCCTACGCCTCTGCTGCTGCTGCAAACGTCTCTGTTGGTGAGGACGTCAGGGTTGCTTCTACTAGTGCGAAGCGCCGCAGCAGCAAGGGCAAGGGGGGCAGGGGTGGTGGAGGTGGCAGCAGTGGCGGTGGAGGTGGCAGCGGGAGTGGTGGTGGGGGCAGCAGTGGAGGTGGTGGCGGCGGTGGGACTGGTGGCAGGAGTGGGGGCTCTGGTGGCGGCGGTGGAGGCAGCAGTGGGAGTGGCGGCAGTGGAGGCGGTGGGACTGGTGGTGGTAGGACTGGACCTCGGTGTGGAGGCCCTGGAGGTGGCCAACGGCAGCAGCAACAGTGTCGGAATGAGACCCAGTCGCCCCAGCAGCTCCGTGACTGGTTGTTTCGGCGTGGGACGTCTTGGGGTAGTGATAGCTGCCCGTATGTCATTCGCACGGGTGACCGTGCTGGTCAGACATGCGGGAAGCTTCACACTCAGCACCGCTGCTTCTCCCGCCTTGACGATGCCTGGTGTGCTGAGTTTGGTGACGAGGTCGAGCGCCCTCACTGGGCAGATTTTCTTAGGTCTGGTGTTGATATCTTTGACCTAGACTTTGATGGTATCCTTTCTGCTATGTATGCTTTGTCTGCTAGTGCTGAGGGTGACTATTACCGGTGTGTTCCACATGACCCAGGTATAGCGGTTGCTGCTCTCGGTGCTAGTGAGTCTGGTACTCTCCCTGGTACTGCGCCTGCTGAGGCCTTGCACACCTTCACGTTGGACTCAGGCGCCTCGCGCTGTTTCTTTCATGACAGCACCACCCTCACTCCTCTCCTTGCACCTGTCCCGGTCAGACTGGATGACCCCTCTGGGGGCCCGGTCGTTGCCCGTTCCTCCACTGTCCTCCCGTGTCCGGCGGTTCCGTCCGGCTCACTGTCAGGTCTTCACCTCCCCTCGTTCTCTACAAACTTGGTGAGTACCGCTGCCCTCCAGGATGCGATGGTCACTACCACCACTCCTGGGGGTCAGCGCGTGTCGATCTGCACGTGCACACGGACGGGGCGTCACATGGCCACGTTCACTCGTCGGCCAGGGTCGAGTCAGTACAAACTCGCTACCGAGCCTCCTCGTGTAGCTGCGTTTGCTCAGGTGTCCGCGTTAGGTCAGGTAGCCGCCTCTTGCTCGTGTCGCCTCCTGTCGCACCAGACTCTTCTGTGGCACCACCGCCTAGGTCACCCCTCCCTGCCACGCCTTCTTGGCATGCACTCTCGTCTTCTTGTCTCTGGTCTCCCCAGGTCTCTGCCTCCCCTCCCGCCCTCGCCTGCCCCGCCCTGCCTTCCTTGCGTCGAGGGGCGGCAGCGTGCCGCTCCTCACTCTTCCTCGTTTCCCCCGACGACTGCTCCCCTGCAGACTCTCCACATGGACGTGTGGGGCCCAGCCCGCATCTGTGGACAGGGCCGCGAGCGCTACTTTCTACTGGTAGTTGACGACTACATGCGGTACACCACGGTCTTCCCCTTGCGCAGCAAGGGTGAAGTCGTTGATGTCTTGATCCCTTGGATCCGCACAGTCCGTCTCCAGCTCCGCGAGCGGTTTGGCCAGGACCTTCCTGTCCTGCGTCTGCACTGTGACAGAGGTGGTGGGTTCTCCTCCAACCTCTTGCGGGAATTTTATCGTGGGGAGGGCATTCTCCAGTCGTTCACGCTTCCGGACTCCCCTCAGCAAAATGGGATTGCTGAGCGCCGCATTGGCTTGGTCATGGAGGTTGCTCGTACCTCCATGATCCATGCGGCTGCTCCCATTTTTTGTGGCCTTTTGCGGTCCGGTACGCTGCGCATCAGCTCAACCTCTGGCCCCGTGTCTCCTTACCGGAGACCTCGCCCACACTGCGTTGGACGGGGGAGGTTGGCGATGCGTCGGTGTTCCGTGTCTAGGGTTCTCGTGCCTTTGTTCACGATACGTCCGCGGACAAGCTCTCCGCCCGTGCTATTCCCTGCGTCTTCCTTGGCTTTGTCCCTGACGCGCCTGGCTAGCAGTTTTACCACCCCACCTCGCGACGTGTCCTCCCTTCTCGAGACGTCACGTTTGACGAGTCGGTTCCCTTTTACCGTCTCTTCCCCTACCGCTCTGCCCCTCCCCCGCCCCCGCCGCTCTTCCTTGCTCCCGGTCCCCCTCTGGTAGACCCCCTCCCGCCCAGGGTCCTGCTCCCTCAGGTGTGTCTGGCCTGTCGAGGTAGCTGTCTGCTCAGGTGCTGCTCGGGGTGCTGCGTTTGGGGTTGCGGAGCCGGGGGGTGCGGAGTCTGAGGGTGCTGGGTCTGGGGGTGCTGAGCCTGGGGGTGAGGAGCCTGGGGGTGCTGAGCCTGCGGGTGTGGAGCCTGCGGGTGTTGAGCCTGAGGGTGTTGAGCCTGGGGGTGCTGAGTCGAAGGGTGCTGAGTCTGGGGGTAATGAGCCTCGGGGTGCTGCTTCGTCTGTAGGTCCTGCTGGTGCTTCGTCGCGACTGTCTCCGCAGCACCTGCGTGAGTGGCTTCTTTGGCGCGCACGCCTTTGGGGTGGAGCTACAGGAGCTGGAGGCGCTAAAGACGCTGGAGTTGGAGGCGCTAAAGACACTGGAGCTGGAGGTGCTCGAGTTACTGCTGGAGCTGGTGGTACTGGAGGTGCTACGGCTGCTGGTCCTGGGGTGCTGGAGCTGCCGGGACTGGTGGCGCTGGAGGCGCTGGAGTTGGAGGAGCTTGAGTTGGAGGCACTAGCGTGGGAGGCGCTGGAGCTACAGGAGCTGGAGCTGTTGACCCTCGAGCTGGAGGTGCTGGAGGCACTGTGCGGCCGCGACCGTACTTCGTTCCCCTGTTTCAGCAGGTTCTTGGTGTCCCATCTTCTACTCGCCTTACTCCTCCCCTCCTGTGTCCACCGCCTGACCAGTCGCAGCCGCCGTTACTGTCAGCCTCCCCACTGCCTGCTCCTTCTCCTTACACTGAGCAGTCCGGCGGTCTTACAGAGCGTCGTGAGCCTGCGTCTCGTCCTGTCTCGCCAGACCCACTGTCTCTCGTCTCCTCGCCACTGCTGTCACTGGCCCTTCATTCGAGTTTGCTGCTGCGTCTGCTCTCGTTGCTCAGCTGCTTGTCTTTGCTCAGCCTGTCGTCTAGACTACGCCACTGCGCTTGTTGCTGAGTCTGCGTCTGCTAGTCCTCCGTCCGTCGGGGGTGAGTGTGCTCTTGGCACGGACGTCCTTGAGGACAGGCAGGAGGAATTTGAGTGTCTTGCAGCTGCTGTACCTCGTTTCGCTTCCATGCTGCTTGCCCCTGAGGGAGACCCGGATGAACCAGACATCCTGACCCCGCGCTCTTACGTAGAGGCGATTACGAGTCCTTACTCCTCTCAGTGGCAGGCAGCCACGGATGCCGAGATGGCATCGTGGAAGTCCACAGGCACCTACGTCGACGAGGTTCCCCAGTTCTCCTCGCCACAGCCCACTCCTCTGTCTACCGGCCATTCACTCTAAGCTCCACCCAGAGCTTGTGGGTTGCCTCATGTACCTGATGACGTGCACACTACCTGACCTCGCGTACCCTCTTAGCCTCCTGGCTCCCGGTAGGCACCGAAAGGTGCACTAGGATGCTGCGAAGAGGGTATTGCGTTACTTGTGCAGTACGTTAGGCATGGGGCTCGTGCTTGAAGGACGGGGTCCAGTTGTCCTCACAGGTCACGCAGACGCTTCCTGGGTTGATGACTCAGCTACGCAGCGGTCGTCACAGGGTTACACCTTCAGCCTTGGCTCTGGCTCTGTTTCTTGGCGGTCTACCCGCTCGTCTTCGGTTCATCCAGTTGTGAGGCTGAGATCTACGCTGGGGCCATGGCTGCACAGGAGCTACGATGGCTCACCTACTTGGTGACCGACTTGGAAGAGCAGCCTCGTTCACCTCCAATTCTGTACGTAGACAACAAGGCCATGATTGCCTTGTGTCAGGAGCACAGACTGGAGCACAGAACGAAGCACATCGCTCTGCGATACTTCCTTTCTCGAGAGTTGCAGCAGCGTGGCCAGCTTCGTCTTGCGTACGTGGCCACTAGTGCCAACACTGCTGATATATTCACCAAGGCACTTCCGCCTGGTGATCATCAGCGCTTCTCTAATATGTTAGGCCTTGTGCCTACTTTGCCTCACTTGCTCACTGCTTGTCTTTGCTTGTACTGTGATCTATAGATATACCTGCATGCTTGCACTTGCTATGGTATGATCTTTTTTATCACCGATCTCCCCAAGACGCGTCCTCCTCCTCCTCCTCCTCCTCCTCCTCCTCCTCCTCCTCCTCCTCCTCCTCCTCCTCCTCCTCTTCCTCCTCCTCCTCCTCCTCCTCCTCCTCCTCCTCCCCTCCTCCTCCTCCTCCACCACCACTCCTCAGTCCACCACTTCCCCGTCCTCTACTTCTGCTGCTGATGGTTATGGAAACTTTGCAGCAACCACCACAGCAACCACAGGATGCTCAACCCCTCCCTCCTCCATCCCCACTCTCCCTCCCCTCCTCCTACCACCCAACAAGGCAGTCGCTTTCTTTGATACATCTCGCATGTGCGCACACGCTCTCTAGTAACAAAGAAAGCGGCGAAGAGCGATACAGAGGGGTACTTCAAAGGGGAGTGCGAGGACTGGGACCAAGCCGCAGTGGTCCGACCGCCATACCTGCGTACGTGCCTATGGGTCTGCATCAGAAACTTGGTTCGGGAGCTGGAGCCAACCCTGCAGCAGCACCGAAGGCAGGCGGAAAGACGGCTATAGGAAAAAGTCTTACAAGAAGGGGGAAAGGGGATAGGAGAGGTGTTTGGGGAAGAGAATAAGCATGGAGAGGATGGGAAGGAGGAAGAGGAAAAAGGAAATGGGAGGATGAAGAATTAAACATGTGTGAAAGTAACGAACGAGAATTAATGAACTAGCAAACAGTTGGGTACAAGTACTAACCCTAATTGGGTTGTACCCCTTATGGGCTACCCCACTACAGCCTACACAAATGTATACGCTATAATGTTTTGACACACCCCCATAGGCAAACTGGGGGAGAACAAGTGGTCACAAGACCAGTCAGGAAAAGCAAAGCAAGCTCAGGGTGGATCACAAAGTCACCACACAGTCCGAGCACAAGCAAAGGGCCACAAGGCCAGTTCACATGCAGAGTTATATATAAAGAGAACAAACAATACAGTGATCATACCCTAGCAAGTGTAAGCATGCAGGTATATATATAGATCATTGTACAAGCAGAGTCAAGCAGTAAGCAAGTGAGGCAATGTGGGCACAAGGCCTAACAGAGTAGCAAAGCGCTGATGATCACCAGGCGGAAGTGCCTTGGTGAAGACATCAGCAGTGTTGGCCTAAGTGGCCACGTACGTGAGACGAAGCTGGCCACGCTGATGCAACTCTCGAGAAAGGAAGTATCGCAGAGCGATGTGCTTCGTTCTGTGCTCCAGTCTATGCTCCTGACACAAGGCAATCATGGCCTTGTTGTCTACGTACAGAATTGGAGGCGAACGAGGCTGCTCTCCCAAGTCGGTCAGCAAGTAGGTGAACCAGCGCAGCTCCTGAGCAGCCATAGCTCCGGCGTAGATCTCAGCCTCACAATTGGAGCTGAGAACTGAAGACGAGCGGGTAGACCGCCACGACACAGAGCCGGAACCAAGGCTCAAGGTCTAACCCTGTGACGACCGCTGCGTAGCTGCGTCGTCTATCCAAGAGGCGTCTGCGTGACCTGTGAGGACAACTGGACCCCGTCGTTCAAGCACGAGCCCCATGCCTAACGTACTGCACAAGTAACGCAATACCCTCTTCGCAGCATCCTAGTGCACCTTTCGGTGCCTACCGGGAGCCACGTAGCGAGCCAGGAGGCTAAGAGGGTACGCGAGGTCAGGTAGTGTGCACGTCATCAGGTACATGAGGCAACCCACAAGCTCTGGGTACGGACCACTCGGCTCTACGGACTCGTCCGAAGGTGGAGCTGAGAGCGAGTGGCTGGTAGACAGAGGAGTGGGCTGTGGCGAGGAGAACAGGAAGCCAAAGCGCTGAAGGACCTGGTGCACCATGTGTGACTGAGTCAGTGTGATGGTGCGCTGTGCTCTGTCCCGGGTGATCTGCAGGCCAAGATAGCTGCGCAGTTCACCCAGGTCAGTGCAGGTGTGTCTCTTCTGCAGCTCGGACTTCACAAGGGTCAGTACCTCAGTGTCAGCAGTGGCAAAGACGAGGTCGTCGATGTAGACGAGGACGTAGAACGGCGGCGGCGAGGTGTCGGTGCGTAGAAACAGCGACGGGTCCACTGTAGAAGGAGCAAACCCAAGAGCCGCAAGTGTAGTCCTCAGTGTGTCGTGCCACTCACGAGGCGCCTGGCGGAGACTGTAGACTGGCCGCCGGAGGCTCCACTGGGTACCTGCAGGAAACGTCCCAGTGAAACTAGGTGGTCGGCGCAGCCAGATCTCCTCGTGCAGGCTGCCCTGCAAGAAAGCTGTGCTGAAGTCCAAAGAGTGCAGCTCGTAGTCACGCTGAGCAGCGACGTGCAGCAACACCCGAAGAGTAGTTATCTTTGGGGTGGGGGAGAAGGTCTGGAAGTAGTCAACTCCCTGTCGCTGTCTGAAGCCTCGAGCAACGTAACGCGCCTTGAAGGCAGGTGGAGAACACGGTGGCCGCTTCACCCTGAAAATCCACATGCCATCGACTATGTTCGCCCCAGGTGGGGGAACCTCGTCGACGTAGGTGCCTGTGGACTTCCACGATGCCATCTCAGCGTCCATGGCTGCCTGCCACTAAGAGGAGTAAGGACCCGTAATCGCCTCTGCGTAAGAGCGCGGGGTCGGGATGTCTGGAGCATCCGGGTCTCCCTCAGGGGCAAGCAGCAAGGAAGCGAAATGAGGCAGACGCAGACTCCGCAACATGAGCAGTGGCGTAGTCTAGACGACAGGCAGCAGCAAAGTCAAGCAGCTGAGCAACGAGAGCAGACGCAACAGCAGACTCAAACGAAGGGTCTGTGACAGCAGTGGCGAGGAGACGAGAGACAGCGGGACTAACAGTACGAGCGCGGTCAGACTCAGGGTCAGGGACCTCATGAAGAGAGGGGTGGGTACGGGCCGGGCGCGGGCTAGGTACGGGCCGGGCGCGGGCAAGAGACGGGGCCGGGCACGGGCAAGGTACGGGCGGGTCACGGGCTAGGTACGGGCCGATCGCGGGCTAGGTACGGGCCGAGCGCGGGCGTGAGACGGGGCCGGGAGCGGGCTAGGTACGGGCCGGTCGCGGGCTAGGTACGGGCCGGTCGCGGGCTAGGTACGGGCCGGGCGCAGGCGAAAGATGGGTCGGGCGCGGGGCTAGGAACGGGCCGGGCGCGGGAAAGGTACGGGCTGGGCGCGGGCGAGAGACGGGGCCGGGCGCGGGCTAGGTACGGGCCGGTCGCGGGCTAGGTACAGGCTGGTCGCGGGCAAGAGACTGGGCCGGGCGCGGGCTAGGTACGGGCGGGTCGCGGGCTAGGTACGGGGCCGGGCGCGGGGTGGGTACGGGCCGGGCAAGGGCTAGGTACGGGCTGGGCGCGGGCAAGAGACGGGGCCGGGCTCGGGCTAGGTACGGGCCGGTCGCGGGCTAGGTACGGGCCGATCGCGGGCTAGGTACGGGCCGGGCGCGGGCGTGAGACGGGGCCGGGCGTGGGCTATGTACGGGCCGGTCGCGGGCTAGGTACGGGCCAGTCGCGGGCTAGGTACGGGCCGAGCGCGGGCGAAAGACGGGCCGGGCGCGGGGCTAGGAACGGGCCGATCGCGGGGAAGGTACGGGCCGGGCGCGGGCGAGAGACAGGGCCGGGCGCGGGCTAGGTACGGGCCGGTCGCGGGCTAGGTACGGGCCGGTCGCGGGGCTAGGAACGGGGCCGGGCGCGGGGCTAGGGGCCGACGGGCCGCGAAGGCTAGGAGCGACGGGCCTAGGGGGGTATTCGCAGCGTAGCAGGTGGCGGGCCCAAGTAACCTGCTCTAATTCCATGTGAAAGTAACGAACGAGAATGAATGAACTAGCAAACAGTTGGGTACAAGTACTAACCCTAATTGGGTTGTACCCCTTATGGGCTACCCCACTACAGCCTACACAAATGTATAAGCTATAATGTTCTGACAACATGTTTCTAGCAACAGACGACGTGAAGCATAGATTTGGTTTGTGACTCTATTGAAGCCACTCGGAGCGGTGTTTTTTTAAGCAGGAGACATCTACCACACGTCCAAAGCAAGCCCTGGGAGACTCGATGTCAAAGCCGAGTTTTTTATGATGTCAAAGCCGCGCGCTACTAAGGTATAAAGGCTGGGTCGTATATAAACACATTTGTGATTGCTGTGCTGACTGGTAATGGGACGCTGGCTGGTGTTAGTACGCAGAATGGGGGTTGTCAATTGAGACCTGAACACCTTGCCTGGTAACATTGTAACATGGTGTGTATGTATGATATCAGGAGTGTTCTCATAACTTACATACTAAGGGCATGTTCCTACGGGCTCTAGTCAGGCTGGCCTCTTGTCAGACTCGCCTCAAACACTAATATTTTGTCAAAAAAGGAACTAATGATGTCATTGATGTGAGTTGGGGTACATATAACAAACCCTAACTTCTGTACCCCCTAAGACAAACCTCACTAAGGCTACAACATTTGACACACCCCCATAGCCTAAGTGAGGGGTGTCTAGCAAAACCAAAAGTGTACGGTCACAAGACCAGTCACAAAGATACAAAGCTCAGGGTGGATCACAACGTCACCACACATTCTGAGCACAAGCAACAGTGGCCACAAGGCCAGTCCAAGAGTTCACAAGTGTGTATAGCAAGAGTACAAGCAAAGCAAACAGTTAACGCAAGCCTATACACGACTAGAACCAGTGTCAACAAGGCCTAACTGCACACAACACCTCTGGTGGTCACAAGGCGGAAGCGCCTTGGTGAAGATGTCTGCAGTGTTGGCCTCGGACTCCACAAACTCAAAGCGAGCCTGTCCACGTCTCTGCAACTCTCGCAGAAGGAAGTACCTGACGTGAATATGCTTCACTCTGCTCTCCAGTCGTGGCTCACGACAGAGGAGAATCGACGCCTTGTTGTCAGTGAACAAGGTCGGTGCAGAGCTCGGCCGCTCACCAAGGTCAGCGAGCAAAAACGTCAACCAACGCAGCTCCTGTGCCGCCATGGCACCAGCGTAGATCTCAGCCTCAGCCGTAGAGGTCGAGACCGAAGAGGAGCGCGTGGACCGCTAGGAAACAGCTCCAGAACCCAAGCTGAAACAGTACCCCTGAGTAGACCTGTGAGTCTCAGCGTCGTCAGCATAAGAAGAGTCACAGTGACCAGTAAGTATGACAGGCTGCTGCCCTCCAAGAACTAGTCCCATGCCTGATGTCGTCGCTAGGTACTTCGCCACCCTCACAGCAGCCGTCCAGTGAACAGGACGGTGCCTCCCTGGCGCAACAAAGCGAGCAAGGACGCTGAGAGGGAAGGCGAGGTCCGGGCGAGTACAAGTCATCAGGTACATGAGGCAGCCCACTAGCTTTGCGTAGGGACCACTGGACTCAAACGGCTCGTCAGGAAAGGGTCCAGTGAGTCTGTGGTCAATAGCAAGAGGTGTGCGCTGTACTGTGGAGTGCTGAAGCTCGAACCGCTGAAGGACCTGCTGCACCATGTGTGACTGTGAGAGTGTAATGGTGCGAGCAGCTCTGTCCCTGGTGATCTGCAGGCCAAGGTAGTGACGCAGCTCACCAAGGCCAGTGCACGTGTGTCTCTTCTGCAGTTCGGACTTCACGTCTGCCAAGGCAACCCTGTCAGCAGTGGCGAAAACCAGGTCGTCGACGTAGACTAGAACAAAGAACGGTGTAGAGCCACGACGAACGAACAGCGACGGGTCGGCAGACGACGGCTGAAAACCAAGGTCAGCGAGAGTAGAGCGAAGGGTGTCGTGCCACTCACGGGGAGCCTGACGGAGACCGTAGACCGGTCGCCTCAGCCTCCACTGGGTCCCAAGAGGGAAAGTGCCAGTGAAGGCAGAGGGACGACGCAGCCAGACCTCCTCGTGTAGGCTACCCTGAAGAAACGCAGTAGAGAAGTCGAGAGAGTGTAACTCGTAGTCTCTCTGTGCCGCTACGTGCAGTAACACCCGAAGAGTGGTCATCTTCGGGGTGGGCGCGAAGGTCTGAAAGAAGTCAACTCCCTCGCGCTGACTGAAACCTCTAGCCACGTAGCGCGCCTTGAAGACCGGAGGAGATCCCGGTGGCCGCTTCACCCTGTAGATCCACATGCCATCGACTACGTTCGCCCCAGGGGGGGGAACCTCGTCGACGTAGGTGCCTGTAGATCTATAGGAGGCCATCTCTGTGTCCATGGCAGCTCTCCACTGAGAGGCCCAAGGCCCTGACACTGCCTCAGCGTAAGTGCGAGGAGTCGGTATGTCAAGGGCGTCGGGGTCTCCCTCAGGGGCGAGCACCATGGCACAGAGATGAGGGGAAGCGACTGCCAGGAACTCTAGCTCAAACTGCCTGTCCTCTAGGGCGTCACAGCCAAGGGCAGACTCACCCCCGACGGCCAGAGGACTGGAAGGAGGAGCAGCCACAAGACTGGTGGCGAAGTCAAGGCGGCGAGTAGAGGCAAACTCAGTTACTGCGGCAGTAAGAGCGGAGACAGAGGACACAGAGGCACGAGGGTGGGTAACAAGAGAGGCGAGAACACAAGAGAGAACAGGACGGTACGTGCGGTAGTAGTCAGTGACAGGAGTAGAAAGCGAAGCAGTGAGGGCCGACTCAGGAGGAGACGAAAGCACAGACGGAGATGGACGAGGCGGACTAGAACGAAGTAAGGCAGTACGAAGGTCAGTGAAGGGAACAGGGGACGAGGGACGAGCACGAGGGGCCCAGGTCTGAGAAGGAGGAGGGGACAACGAAGACTGAGAACAAGGGAAAACAGCTGGAGAGGGGTCAGGAGGAGGAAGCGGAGGACCCGAGACGGGAGGAGAGGGGGAGGAGGAAGGAGAGCGGGAGGGGAGACCGAGGGCCCGAAGACCGGAGACAGGAGGAGGAGGCGGCGGCTGCTGCTGCTGCGGCGGCGGCGGCGGCGGCTGCTGCTGCTCCTCCTGCTGCTGTAGCGGCTCCAGCTCCTGCGCCTCCTGCTGCTGCGGCGGCTCCAGCCGCGGCTGCTGCAGCTGCTCCTGCTGCTGCTGCTGCTCCTCCAGGCGCTGCAACTCTCTCTCCTCTCTCTCCAACTTCTGTACATATAACAAACCATAACTTCTGTACCCCCTAAGACAAACCTCACTAAGGCTACAACATTTGACATATTTCGGCTTAACCCTACTTTTTATTTCTTTTTTTCCGTTGCTTGGTGAAGTGCGCGACACAATGAGTGGGGTGATGTGGCACTGCGCAGCGCTCCTGTTCCGAAAGGTTGCAAAGGTACAATTGTTTCCTGAGTCCTGACAAATCACAAACGACCGAAACGTGCGCTTGGTGGCTGTAAAATCTTCGTCTGCGCGAATAACTGACCTGGCTCGCCGAAACACCACGTGTGATAGGTTTCGCGTGACCAATTCATCGTGCAGCACCGTTTGTTTTGAAGTCTGAAAAACGGTGTTAATAACGAAATCGCTCGAATGACCAAGTCTGACAAGGGCCCAGCCTGACTAGAGGCTGTAGGAACATGCTCTAATACTATGCATTATTGCTTAGACCTTGACATGCAGGCTTCTCATCTCATACAGAGCATGAAAACGTGTCAAACATACGGGATGCCGTACAATATTGATCCACATTTCCGAATGCACTACTTGGCGTCATCACCATTCCATTGCAGCTCCGCCTGGCTTCTCCCCTCTCCATTCCCTTTCCCTAGCACCACCGCTGCTAGCTGTCCCACTGCCAGCAGCAGTCTGCATTCTCTTTGGTCAGTCGATATGAATAGAGTGCACCGCACTACTAGGAGTCACCACAATTCCATTCACAGCCTCGCCTTGCTCCTCTCCCCAGCATTCCCTTTCCCCAGCACCACCGCTGTCAGCCGTCCCACTGCCAGCAGCAGCCCTGCTCTGGGAGAAGCCAAAGAAGCCGTCCCTCCAGACGCGTCTCCCACATCTTGAAGCTCGTCTCGCCTCTGCTTCTCTTGCTTCTGAACAGACAAGCGCACCTCCCACACCTGAGAGGCAACGAAGGGACCACAACAGATGATGGGCAGTGGGCGACACGAGTAGAAAGTAGATTTTTGAGACGTCTCAACACGGGACCGCAACAGATGAGAGGCAGTGGGCGACACGAGGAAGCAGTGAGTACATGCCTGTCTTTTGAGTCGACCCAACCGTCACGAAGCAGTGGGTGCAAACAAGCAGCAGCAATTCCGGAAGACGGCATACCTGCTGGTCCCCTTAAACCCTCCTAATTTGTCCCTACCTGCTGCCCCTCACCATCTGCACAATCAGGAGGCCGAGGAACAGCAACAGCGTCAACGGGAGTGCCGAGGGGGCACGGCCTGAGATGGCTGGTGGCCACCTCTACCCCTGCCACTGCATCCCTTGCTTCCAGACCGCTTGACAATCTGCTCCCCTGCTGCCTGTCAGGCTGATAGTCCCTACCTGATTCTCTGCCTACCTGGACAGTGCGCCCCACTCGCAGCGGCACAGCGACAGCAAGAACGGCCGTATCGAGGGGGCACGGCCTGAGATGGCTGGTGGCCACCTCTACCCCCGCCACTGACCCCCCTGCTGCCAGACTCGCTCCTACACTGCCGAGAGACTCGGTGATTAGGGCTGATACTCCTCCGTGTACGTTGTTAAAGGGCTGGAGAGGGAGAGGGACGAGAGGAAAGGAAAGACATTGACGAAATGTGTGTTTTCCAATCTGCCACTTGACCCTCCGGTGCTAGCAGCTGGACTCGCGCCCACACTGCCCAGAGACCCTGCAGGTTGTTGGCTAGGAAGGGGGGAGGCTGTTTTTGAATCGACTTGACAAAAAGGGGGGAGGGACGCGGATGATCGAGAGAACCAATGAGAGAGAACGAGCAAGAGGAGGGGTGAGAGGGAATGGAAAAAATCGGGAGGAACGAGGCGGAGGAGAGAGTGTGAACGAGAAGCATCGACATGCACAGACACCAGCCAGCAGCAGTACCTGGGCGGTTGCCGGGGACGAGAACAACACCACAACAAGTATATTATAGGCACCTAGAATCTTGTCTTTTTGAGGAGGCTAATAAATCAACCAGCAGCAGTACCTGAGCGGTTGAAGGGGACGAGACGAACGCCGCCACGACGCGGTGAGGGCAGGCAGAGAGGAAGCGAAGGCCGATGAACTTATGGATGGGCAGACGGTTGAAGCGAGGGGAGTCGAAGTGAGGGGATTCAAAGCGAGGGGAGTCGAAGTGAGGGGAGTCGAAGTGAGGGAAGTTGGAGCAGGAACAAGCACGTGAGCCCTCATACTCATCCGTCCCCTCTCCCATCCGCCGCTTCACCTCCTCCTCTCCATTTCCCTCCTTTCGGTTCCCCAGTGCTCCACTTTCCTCCCTCCTCCCTGCTTCTCCTCCAATCCAGTTCCCTCTCTTCTCTCCGCCTCCATACCCATTCTCCTCCCCTCCATTCCCATTCTCCCCGTTCGTCCGGCCTCCACGGCTCTGGGCCAAGGGAATACACGTCAGTCGCCCCACTGCCAGCAGCCGACCAGCCTTCAAGCCCACAGGTGAGCACTCAGTTGTGCATTCAGGTGGCAACAGCTGCTGTTGCTGCTCTTGACTCGGCCCTGCCTTGCTGTCTAGTGAGTGTGATTGTGATGCTGACGGCACGTGATTAGTTTGTATTGTTGCTGCTGCCTCCCTAGCGAGGGTTGACTCTCCCTGTGCCAGAGCGCTGTCACTTGAAGCTGACAGGCGGACCTCCCACACCTGGAATTGTGAATGGTTTGTGAATGCTTTGGAAATAGTTTGTGAATGCTTTGGAAACACACACACACACACACACACACACACACACACACACACACACACGCACGCACGCACGCACGCACGCACGCACACGCACACGCACACGCACACGCACACGCACACGCGCGCACACACACACACACACACACATGTGACATGCCACGCACACACACAAAATCATGCGCCCACCCACGCCCCGAAATCCCTCAATCCTCTCCCTTCCCACACTCACTCACACCTGAACGGTGCGGCCGACTCTCAAGGGAGTGCCAACAGCAATGAGAGGAGTGCCGATGGGTGCCGCTCTGAGGTGACTGCATGCTACCTCCACCCCCACCACCGGTGCACCAGCAGCGACGGCAGCACCTAGACTGCCCACTGCCTCCGTTACCAACGCTGACACCCCTCCGTGCAGATTGCCAAATGGCTGAAAGCGGTGGGGAGGGGTGAGGGGCGGTGGGGAGGGGTGAAGAGGAGTGGGGAGGATTATGCAAGAGGGAGGGAGAGGGATAAGAGCACACCACCTCCACCCCCACCACTGGCGCACCAGGAGCCACGGCAGCGCTTAGACTCCCCACTGCCTCCGTAATCAATGCTGACACTCCCCCGTGCAGATTGCCAAACGGCTGGAAGCGGTGGGGAGGTGTGGGGAGGGGCAGGAAGGAGTTTAAAGGAGAGGAAAGGAGCGGATTAAAGCATGGAACCTCCACACCCACCACCAGAGCACCACCAGCAACGGCAGCGCTTAGACTACCCACTGCCTCCGTTATCAATGCTGACACCCCCTCGTGCAGATTTCCAAACGGCTGGAAGCGGTGGGGAGGAGTGGGGAGGAGGGAGGAGGAGTGAAGAGGAGTGTGGAGGAGTGCATGGAAGCAGCGGGTGGGAAGGGGGGGGAAAGGGTTTGGGGCGGAGATGAGAAGAGTTGAATGCTACCCGGGCAGAGGATGGCAATGAGATGAGGGTAGCAACACGATGAGGGGAGGCGGAGAGGAAGCGGAGGGCGAGGAAGGAGGTGCATGGGCAGATTTGAGACGTCTCAAAAGGAGGTGCATGGGCAGATTTGAGACGTCTCAAAAGGAGGTGCATGGGCAGAGAACAACGCATGATTGCACCGCCACGCCACTCAGAAGGACAGCAGCAAGCAATAACCACCGGCACAGAGCTGGATAGGAGGTGGGAAGGATGGGGCTAGCATGGGAAACAAGGGGTGGGACGGAGACGATGAGAAGGGGTGACGGTTACCTGGGCGGAGGAGGGCGAGGAGGTGAGCGTAGCGACAACGCGATGGGGGGAGGCGGAGAGGAAGCGGAGGCCGAGGAAGGAGTGCACGGGGAGAGCGCTGAATCCCGCCAGCTCCGCTGCCGTCAGCGATCGCCGCGGCTCGGCTGGCTTGGATGGCCTTTGAGTCGCCTCGTTACTAGGCATTTGGGACGACTCAGAGGGTCGGCTTGGCTCCAAAGCCACCTTGGAACCCGCGATCTTCGCTGCTGCTGATGGCCTTCGAGTCGCGTCGCTGGGATGGGTACGCGGGTTGCCTATTGTCTAGCACTGCGCGGTTGGTATGTACGCGTTATAAACCGAACGGATGGAATACTAGCGAGGCCCGGCTCCGGGAACTTGCGAGCTTTTGCACCAAGTATAATGAGGTGATTGAGAAGGGATACTATTGCGGAATAAATAGACGCTCTATGTAAAACTGCAGTTCGAACTGTGACTTGAAAGCACGCAGCACAAGGATACGATCATACGATAGTCCAAGGATGGCGATGCGACGTGGCAGAACAGGAGCAGGAGAACAAATGCAGAGCGTAAAAAATCCCCACATGTATGTTTGCAAGAACTTTGTATTTACATAGAAGTGAGAAAACAATTCACGGTGTAGCGACGTACTAAACCGAGTTCTGTATTATTTGCAGACGCGAGGTGCAATGTGCGGTGCGTGCGAAATGTTGCGCCTCGAACTGTTCCGCAATTACTGTTCTCCCGCACATGCCGCGGGCCAATAAACCGAAAACTGTGGCTTGCAATTCCCCACCGTTGCGAATTCCCTCCGACCCGAGTCCATGGAGTGGAGTTCACCCCCCTACAATGCCTCACCTCACCAACCCCTTCCACCCATCCCTTCCCTCCCGAAAGGAATTTGGACATAAAACTGCAATAGCGTAGCGTGTACCGTATTGTAACAAACAGCAAATCCACTCCCCTTCCCACGTTACCTGCTTCAGAATGTTGCTTAGAAGCATGCGCACAGACGCCAACCTCCTCTTGCCACCCCCACTCACTCTCACACCCTCCCCCTCTCTCTCCACCCCTCCCCTTTTCACTTCCTCCACCCCCTCTTCCCCCGCCACCCCTCGCACCACCGCCGCCGTCCACCTCAGCGCCGCCCTCGCCAGCTGGCGGAACGCGTCTGGCTCGCCGTGCTGCCAGCTGGCAGACTGCAGCGAGCGCACGAGGCGCAGGAAGGCCTCCGCTGCCACGTCAGCATCGCCCACGGCTTCCAGGAAGGTTCCTTGCAGGCGGTAAATTTCCGGCACGCCTGCTCCTGATGCCACTGCCTGTTGGTGTTTGTTTGGGTGTGGCAGTGGGAGTTGAAGGGGTTTGTGGGAGCTGAGTGACTGTGGTGGTGGAAAGATTTTAATGCAAAGAGGAGATGGAGAAGGGGGAGGGGGCGGAATGGATGTCTCCCTCAATGGTCCTTATTAGCCAATCAGAAGCTGTGAGAAGAAGGAGGGTACAGTGGAGGGACCCAGGATGCACAAGCAGCAAGCAGAGGCTGAAAAGAAACATCATCGCACCTTTCCCAGAAGCTTCCTCAGCTCCGTTTCAAGCCTGGCAGCTTCCCTTTCGTTCATGGGACCACCACTCCCTGCTTGCGTCCCACCATCCTCCTTATAAGCACAATTTGTTTCTGGCACACCATTCCCCTCCCCTCCACCCTCTCCTCCACCTTCCCCTCCCACCGCCTCCTCCCTCCCTCCCACCTTGCCCAGATCCAACGGCTGTAAACTCATCATCAAATCATCAATCTCACCACCATCCCCATCTCTCCCCTCCAACCCCTCCCCACCACCCTCAACTCCACCCTCCTCTCCCCTTCTCCCTCCCTCGCCATCACCGGTCTTCTCCTCCTCCTCCCCTTTCCCGCCTCTCCTATTCCTCTCCACCACCCCTATCAGCCCCTCTAGCACGGTTGTGTCGACCCGCTTGCCTTGAGTCAGCTCCAGCACTCGTGATGCTGCCCTCACCGCCTTCGGGGGGCGGGGGAGTGAGAGAGGGGAAAGTGGGGGGTGGGGAAGGGTGGGTTGAAACAACACCCGTGTCGACCCGCTTTCCCTGAGTCAACTCGAGCACTCGTGATTCTGCTCTCACCGCCTTCGGGGGGAGAGAGAGCGGGGAGAGGAAGGCGAGGGGGAAGAGTGGGGGAAGGTGGAGATAGTAGGGGGAGATATAGGGAAGAAAGCAGCACCCGTGTCGACCCGCTTGCAATGGGTGAGCTCGAGCACTCGTGATGCTGCTCTGACAGCCTTTGGGGGGAGAGTGAGAGGAGGGAGAGGAATGGGTGGGGGGAGAATGGGGGAGGTGGCGTGGGGTTAGAGGCAGGTTAGAGCAGGGAGAGAGAGGAAGTAGGCGCTGTGGGGTTGGGCGAGGGGAAGGGGGGGAGGGAGAGAGAGGACCAGGGGCAAGGGTGATAAAGGGATGCGGAGAGCAGAGAGAGAGGAAGAGGCAACTGTGAGTACTTGTTTGAGAGGAGAGGAAGAGGAAGAGGAAGAGGAAGAGGAAGAGGCTATAGCTCCATGTACAGAGGAGGCGGGGAGAGAGGAGAGGATGGGGATATAAGCCATTTACAGTTTCTTGAAGTATTATATACCCAATACTAAAAAAATTCCAATTTGATTTTCAAGAGTCCCAGTGCGATAACACGTCCAAGATGGCACCCTACCTGGTGGCACCCTGCCCCACCTGCCGGCACCGCATCACACCTGCTGGCACCCCACCGCACCTGCTGGTAACTCTTCACATCCAGAGCCACCTTCGCAAAGTTTTCCCACAGGTGCCAGTCCTCTCCCCTGTGGAAAGGAGAGTGGGAGGCGGGGGAGGGGGACGGGGGTGAAGCTGTGTGAAGGGGTTGGAGTGATGGGGCGGAGTGGTGGGGAGGAACGATGGGGAGGAGCGATGGGGAAGCAGGAGTGATGAGGAGTGAATCACAGTAGTTCTCCTGCAAGAACACACACCTCAGCTCCTCGTATCCCATCGCACTCCCTCATACCACATCGCACTCACTTGTGCTTGAGTGCCTCTTGTACCGTCTTAAACGCCTCTTGAATTCGGTTGCGCTGTAAGTTGCTGCCATGCCAAGGGGGTTCCACAGTGTGAATTATTAAATGGTATATAAGGTGTGGAGGACAGGCAGGAAGAAAGACAGGAAGGTAAGTTGCTCCCATGGCAGCCAAGGTGTGAACGGAACACGATATGCCCGGTCATGAGTAAGAGAAAGAGCACGAGCTATGCTAGCCTTGATGTGTTGTGCGATGCGAGCACGAGCTAGCATGGCAAGACATCAATGCCGAGCATCGCATACCATGATAATCTCAGTCATGCAAAGCCAAGTTGTGCAGCAAGCATGAACAGTGCCAGCTTGAGCATGCAAGCATGACCGTGCAAGCATCCTTCAGCAGCACTCACAGTACGGCCAGGTTGTTCCACGCCTCCCCATTGTCTGGATCGATCTGCACTGAACGGGTGAGCGCATACAGGGCATTACATGCGTCGCATGCCTGTAGCACTCACACTTCGCACCGCACTACACCTCACAGCACCGCACTCGCAGCATGGACTGGGCACTCACAGCACAGCCAGGTTGTTCCACGCCTCCCCGTTGTCTGGATCGATCTGCACTGAACGCGTGAGCGCATACAGGGCCTTGTCCCCGTCACACGCCTGCAAACACAGGAATGAGAGACAGGAGATATGTGGTGGATAGTAGCCAGGGAACAAACGGATACATGCTGAAGGAGAGAAGGATCATGTGTATGGGTCTTTTGAGATGTCTCAAAGTCGATAGCAGGCATAGCATAGGGACGCAAACATCTAACGGCCAGAGGAGTGCCCACATTACCAGAAATGGCCATACCTACCTGTACAGCCTTCTCCCTCTCCACCGCACTGCACCAAAATAAAACTACACCTGCATGGCAGAGTAGCCCAGGGAGAACCAGGCAGACGCATGCAGCAGGCTGATGGCCACAAGCCTCCCAGTGAGGCACCACCAGCCATACCTATACAGCCCCCCTGTCTCTCTCTCTGCACCGCACTGGACCACACTGCACTGCATGGCACCGCACTACACCTACCTGAATGGCAGAGTAACCGAGGGAGAACCAAGCAGATGCATGCAGTGGGCTGATGGCCAGGGCAGCCTCCCAATGAGCCATGGCTGCTTTGAAGTCCTTTGTGTTCATTGCCATGCGCGCTAGTGCTCGCTGTAATCAGAGGGGTGAAGAGGGATGGAGAGGGATGGAAAGGGGTGAAGAGCAGCCTCTCGTTTTCAGTCACCCAGTGAGGCATGGCTGCTTTGAAGTCCTTGTTGTTCATTGCCATGCGCGCTAGTGCTCGCTGTGAGAGGGAGCAGGAGTAGAGGGATAGGGGGGAAGGCACAGTGAGAGAGAGCAGGAGGGACACTGAGACAGCGATCTCTCAGCCTCCCAGTGAGCCATGGCTGCGTTGAAATCCTTGTTGTTCATTGCCATGCGCGCTAGTGATTTCTGTATAAAGAGGGGTGGAGAGGATTGGAGAGGGATGATAAGGAAAGGCTTAACCCAGTGGGGGGATGGAGTGTAAGGAAGAACGCAAAGTTCCAGTGAGTTACAGCAGAGCAGTCGATACCCCAACGCACAGTACCAAAATGGATCACACACTACCGCACAGAACCACATTACCACATGCACTACATGACAAAGCACCGCACTGCACCGTACTCCACACCAGAGGCACGTGCATATCTGTGCCAGGCGAACTCCCAAACCTTCTCATCTCATAGCACTCCTTCCCCGTCATCCCTCAGGCCACCGCACCACCACTACACATGACAATGCATCGCACTTCACCACACTGCACCGCTCTCCACACCTGAGCACGTGCATATCTGTGTCGGGAGAACTCCCAAGCCTTCTCGTAGCACTCCCATTCCTCCGTCAAATCCCCCAGGCAGCACCAACATTACACTGACCCTTCAACATAATAAAGCACCAGACCGCAACACCGCTTTGCACTTCAACGAACTGCATTTAACCGCACTCCACCACTCTCTCCACACCTGAGCACGCGCGTATCTGTGCCGGGAGAACTCCCAAGCCTTCTCGTAACATTCCTTCTCCTCCGTCAAATCCCCCAGGCAGCACCACAGGCGCGGATCCTCCTTCTGCTCCTTCAGCCTCGTTGTCACCAGCGCTGCTGCTGCTGCTCTCTTGCCCAGGAGGCTGGAATAAGGGGAGTGGAGGGGGGAAGGAATGGGGGGAGTAGACACGGAAGGAAGCAAGATGGGCCCCAGGAAGCACGATAGGCGCCAAACTTCCTTCTGCTGCTCCTTCAGCCTCGCTGTCACCAGAGCAGCAGCTGCTGCCCGCTTGCCCAGGAGGCTGAGATGGGATCATGGGAGGAGTGGGGGGGGATGGAATGGGGGTGAAAAACGATGCTTCAGCCTTGTTGTCACCAGCGCGACTGCTGCTGCTCTCTTGCCCAGCAGACTGTGATGGCGCGGAGGGGGCGGGGCGGGGTGGCAGGGTGGGGGGCGGGGAGAGGGGGCGGGGTGTGGGGGCGGGGTGGGGGGGCGGGAGTCATTCCTTTGGAGTCGACTCAGAAGACCTAACCTAGCTGTCACCAACGACTTCTGAGGCGCTTCAAAGATTTCGGGTTAAGCTAACCTCGCTTCCTGTGTACTGTGTACCTTGCAGGCTAGTCGTGTGAGTCAGGTGCAATATTCCTCGCAGTATGGACCTGTAGCAGTCGATCAGATGGTCCCACAGCTCATTCACCTCGAACAGGTGTATGCTGAGTGTACTCAAGACAGACCTGAGGAATGTACCTTGCATAGTAGCGTTGTGAGTCAAGTGCACCCTCCCTCACTTGTATTGTAGCCCACCTGTAGCAGTCGATGAGATGGTCCCACAGCTCATTCGCCTCAAGAACCGTACTGTACCTGTATGTAAGTGCGCCCTCGCAGTGCACCCTCGCAGTGCACCCTCCCTTGCTCGCAGAGCTCACCTGTAGCAGTCGATGAGATGGTCCCACAGCTCATTGGTCTCAAACACACGCATGGCCTCACCCACACACCCGCTCGCCACCAGCAGCTCTCCATACTCCCTGTGCGTTTTGAAGGGGCGGGGTAGAGAGGGAGGAGGGAGGGAGGGTTGGGAATCCAAACCTCAGGATCACTTATTGCGAAGGTCACGTGGTTCGGTTTGGCCTGTTGTGGCTCACTTGAAGAGAGCAGGCGTGGTGGGAAAACAAACAGCAAAGCAGTATCGCATCGTTTCTTCTCTGCTGCTCTCTTTTCAGCTCTCCCAACGATAGGATGTAACTCTCTCGAAGAGAGCAGGCTGGGGAGAATCTCGCTTGAAAAGAGCAGGCGTGGTGGGGAACCAAACAGCGAAGCAGTATTTCATCCTCTCTGCTGCTTCTCTCGCTTCCTCCTCCGGGAACGCAGCCGCCACAGCGCCTCCTGATGATCCCGAGGCTGCTTGCGATTGCTGCTGGCGGATTCTCTTCTCCTGATGTGAGACTGACTGGATCTGAAGTGGGAGCACACCACCGCACCGCACAGCACAGCACAGCACTGCACAGCACCGCACAGCACAGCACAGCACAGCACAGCACAGCACAGAACCAGGAAGCAGGACAGAACACAACCATGTGCTTTGCAAGCCGCATATAACAAACCTGCAGGCAGCTGATAGCTGTATTCATGCCGAGCGTATCTCGGACGAGAAAGTGGGAAGCCAGACAAAACTAAAACATCAGACATCCTCTCTACGAGCTGCAGATAGTTTTGAGAATTCTCAAAGATGACAAACCATGCCATCATACCTACTCACCATTCACTTCACCCCATTCATTCCCAGTCACCACTCACCCCATCAGCAACACTGACCTCTGCTGTGTGTGCAGTCAGTATGAGCCAATCAGACACGGGAAGGTGAAACATCTATAACCTAACCTCCATACATCCGTTCCCCATCCATTCCCACTCACCAGTCTCTCCATTGTCGCAACTGCCCTCTGCCGCGTGTGCGAGTGCGAGCGCAGCAGATGCCACTGAAAAGTCTCAAGCTGTAGTATCTGTCACTCCAACCAATCCATTGTATTCCTCACCCATCCATTCCCACTCACGAGTCGACTTTTGAGTCGACTCAAAGGTCACCTCGTTACCATGGCGCACAACACATTTTGAGTCGACTCAAAAGTCACTCCAACCAATCCAGTGTATTCCTCACCCATCCATTCCCACTCACCAGTCGCTCCATCGTCACAACTGCCCTCTGCCGTGTGTGCGGTCAGCAAATGCCATGTCTGAAGCTGCAGTACTTGTCCTGTTAGAACATTGTATCCACTCCCATGCCACACTCACCAGCCTCTCCATCGTCGCAACTGCCCTCTGCCGTGTGTGTGCTCTCTTGCGTTCCCACCGCACCCTCAGCAGCTCACAGCCCGCTTGCACCTGTGGAGGTGGGGTGAGGAGGGGAGGTGGGGAAGAGGGGAGGAGGGAGAGAGGAGACAAGGTGAGCAGAAGGACAGTGTTGGCCATACTTACGCTCCCACCGAACTCTCAGCAGCTCACAGCCTGCCTTCACCTGTGGATGTCGGGCAGAGAGGCGAGGAGAACGTAAGAGGAAGAACATGCGTCGAGGAAGGGAACCCTCTTGGGAGAGGAGGAAAGAGAACTTAAATTAAAATGTGCGGTGTCAGTGTCGCATGCGCTCCCATCGATCGACCCTCAGCAGCTCACACCCCACCCTTCACCTGTGGAGGTGGGGTGGGGGCGAGAGGGCTTTTGAGTACAGTTGCGGTGGGAGGGAGGGAGGACGTATGAGAAAGGACCTCGCACTGCACTGCCACCGCACCCTCAGCAGCTCACTCGCGCCTCGTTCTTCACCTTTGGAGGTGGGTTGGAAGCGAGAGGGCTTTTGAATACTGTAACGTTGCGGTGAGAGGGAGGGAGGAGGTATAAGAAAGCGCCTTGCGCTCCCATCCCACCTTCAGCAGCTCACTCACTCTCTCACACCCCACCCTTCACCACTTAAGGTGGGGGGAATGAGGGGCAAGGGGAGAAGGGAAAAACATGCCAGTAGTGTGGAAATGAGGAACGAGAATGGGTGAACTATGAAATGAAGTGAGTACAAATAGGAAACCCTAATTGGGTTGTACCCCCTATGGGATACCCCACTATAGCCTACACAACAGCATAAGCTATATAATGTTCTGACACACCCCCATAGGCAAAGTGGGGGAGAACAAGGGGTCACAAGACCAGTCAAGCAAAGCAGAGCAAGCTCAGGGTGGATCACAAAGTCACCACACAGTCCGAGCACAACGACAAGGCCACAAGGCCAGTTCACATGCAGGAGTACACATATATATATAGAGCTAGACAAGCAAGAGCAGGTATATATATGTAACAGTACAAGCAAGGTCAAGAAGAGAGCAAGTGAGGCAAGACAGGTACAAGACCCAGCTGGGTGCAGAAGCGCTGATGGTCACAAGGCGCAAGTGCCTTGGTGAACACATCAGCAGTGTTGGCCTCAGAGGCCACGTAAGCAAGTCGCAACTGACCACGCTGCTGCAGCTCACGAGCAAGAAAGTAACGGAGAGCAATGTGCTTCGTTCTGTGCTCCAAGCGCTGCTCTCGACACAAGGCCAGCATGGCCTTGTTGTCTACGTACAGCACTGGAGGAGAACGAGGCGGCTCTCCAAGGTCAGTCAGCAGGTAGGTGAGCCAGCGAAGCTCCTGTGCAGCCATGGCCCCGGCGTAGATCTCAGCCTCACAACTGGAGCTGAGAACAGAGGACGAGCGAGTAGCCCGCCACGAGACAGAGCCTGAACCAAGACTGAAGGTGTAACCCTGCGACGACCGCTGTGTAGCCTGGTCGTCTGCCCAAGAAGCGTCCGCGTGCCCAGTGAGGACCACTGGACTCCGCCCTCCAAGCACTAGCCCCATGCCCGACGTACTGCACAAGTAGCGCAACACCCTCTTCGCTGCAGCCATGTGCTCTGGTCGGTGTCTCCCAGGAGCAACATAGCGTGCAAGAATGCTAAGAGGGTATGCAAGGTCAGGTCGTGTGCAGGTCATCAGGTACATGAGGCAGCCAACAAGCTCTGGGTACGGGCCACTCGACTCTACGGACTCATCCGAAGGCAGAGCTGAGAGCGAGTGGCGAGTAGACAGAGGAGTGGCCTGAGGCGAGGAGTACGTGAAGCCGAAGCGCTGAAGGACCTGCTGCACCATGTGTGACTGAGTCAAGGTAATGGTGCGGCGTGCTCTGTCCCGAGTGATCTGCAAGCCAAGGTAGCTGCGCAGTTCACCCAGGTCTGTGCACGTGTGTCTCTTCTGCAGCTCGGACTTCACGTAGGCTAGTCCAGCAGTGTCAGCTGTGGCAAAGACCAAGTCGTCGACGTACACGAGGACGTAGAACGGCGGCAAAGAAGTGTCGGTGCGCAGAAACAACGACGGGTCAGCAGTAGAGGGAGCAAACCCAAGAGCCGCAAGCGTAGTCCTCAGTGTGTCGTGCCACTCACGCGGTGCCTGGCGGAGACCGTAGACTGGCCGTCGGAGGCTCCACTGGGTGCCAGGAGGAAAAGTCCCAGTGAAGCCAGGTGGACGGCGCAGCCAGATCTCCTCGTGCAGGCTACCCTGCAAGAAAGCAGTACTGAAGTCAAGAGAGTGGAGCTCGTAGTCGCGCTGAGCGGCTATGTGCAGCAGCACCCGAAGAGTGGTCATCTTCGGGGTGGGAGAGAAGGTCTGAAAGTAGTCAACTCCCTGCCGCTGACTGAAGCCACGAGCGACGTACCGCGCCTTGAAGACAGGTGGAGAGCCCGGCGGCCGCTTCACCCTGAAGATCCACATGCCACTGACGATGTTCGCCCCAGGAGGGGGAACCGCGTCAACGTAGGTGCCTGTGGACTTCCAGGACGCCATCTCTGCATCCATAGCTGCCTGCCACTGAGAGGAGTAGGGACCCTCTACGGCCTCCGCGTAAGAGCGCGGAGTCGGGATGTCTAGTGCATCCGGGTCTCCCTCAGGGGCAAGTAGTACGGACGCGAGATGAGGTGAAGCAGCAGCCAGACACCGGAACTCCTCCTGCCTGTCCTCAAGGACGTCCGTGCCAAGAGCACACTCACCCCCGACGGACGGAGGACAGACAGACGCAGACTCAGCAACAAGACCGGCAGCGTAGTCTAGACGACAGCGAGCAGCAAAGTCGACGAGCTCAGCAACAAGTGCAGACGCAGCAGTGGACTCAAAAGAGGGGTCAGTGACGACAGTAGCAAGGAGACGTGTGACAGCAGGACTGGCAGCACGAAGAGAGTCCGACTCCGGGTCAGGAAGAGCAAGAAGAGAGGACTCAGGAGGAGAAGGCAAAGGGGCACGCAGAGGAGCAGTGGACGGACGCAGAGACATCCGGTGCGTGCCAGGGACAGGAGGAGGACGCTGACGCGAACCACGACCACTAGTGCGAGCAGCACGGACAGGCGACGCAGGACGAGACGCAGGCTCACGACGCTCAGCAAGACCTCCAGTAGGACCAGTGTAGGGAGAAGGAGCGGGCAGTGGGGAGGCCGGCTGTAACTGGAACTGTGACAGGACAGGCTGTGGACACTCTAAGGGAGGAGGAGGACCAGTAGAAGGCGGGAGACCAAGAACCTGCTGAAGGAGCGGAACGAAGTACGGTCTAGGCCGCGAGGCGACTCCAGACACAGCAGGGACAGCACCAGTACCCCAAGCGGGAGCACCAGCGCCAGCAGCACCTCCAGCTCCAGGACCTCCAGCAGCACCAGTAGCACCCCCAGCAGGACCGCCTCCAGGACCGACAGCAGTAGCCTCAGCGCCAACACCCTCAGCAGCTCCAGCTCCAGCACCTCCGGGACCCGCGGCACCAGCACCCTCAGTAGCCGAAGAACCTCCAGCTCCAGCAGCACGCCTCCAGCGCCGGGCAAACCACTCACGCAGCTCCTGTGGAGAGAGGGGCTCCCGCCGAGGCGAAGCACCCGGAGAACCGCCAGGTCCCGCACCGCCAGACGCCACAAGGGGAGGTCCAGTGGCCGCAGGCTCCGCAGCTCCAGGCTCAGCACCTCCAGACGCAGCACCCCCTGGCTCAGCACCCCCAGTAGCAGCACCCCACGGCTCAGTACCCCCAGACTCCGCACCCCCAGGCTCAGCACCCCCAGTCGCAGTACCCCCAGGCTCAGCACCCCCAGACTCAGCACCCCCAGGCTCAGCACCCGCAGCAGGACCAGAGTCACCAGCAACCTCGACCGGCTCGACTGCGTCTACCTGGGACACACCTGAAGGGGCAGGACCCTGAGGGGGAAGGGGGTCTACCGGGGGGGGACCTGGCACAAGGAAGTGCGGTGGCGGGGGGAGGGAAGGAGTGCGGTAGGGGAAGAGGCGGTAGAAGGGGACTGACTCGTCGAACGTGACGTCCTGGGAGGACAGAACACGACGAGAGGAGGGGTGGTAGAACTGCCACCCTGGAGCGTCAGGGGGGAAGCCGAGGAAGACACAGGGAGCAGCACGAGGGGACAGCTTGTCCGCAGACAAGTCACGGACAAACGCCCGAGATCCCCAGACACGGAACGCAGACGCATCGCCGACCTTCCCCGTCCACAGCAGAGCTGGAGAGGTCTCCGGCCGGGAGACCCTGGGGTGAAGGTTGATCTGATGCGCCGCGTACCGAACCGCAAACGGCCACAGAAAATGGGGGGCAGCCGCATGCATCATGGACGTACGAGCGACGTCCATGACCATGCCAATGCGGCGCTCAGCAATCCCATTTTGCTGTGGAGAGTCCGGAAGCGTAAAGGTCTGGCGGATGCCTCGTGCACGACAGTAGGCTCGCAGAAGGCCAGAGGAGAACTCTCCACCTCGGTCAGAGTGCAGACGCAGAACAGGAAAGTCCGAGCCGAAGCTCCTCCTGAGCTGGAGACGAGCTGCGCGGATCCAGTCGATCAACACCTCAGTGACATCACCCTTGCTGCGCAAGGGGAAGACTGTGGTGTAACGCGAGTAGTCGTCAACCACCAGCAGGAAGTAGCGCTCGTGACCCTGCCCACGGACGCGGGCGGGGCCCCACACGTCCATGTGAAGCGTCTGCAGAGGAGCCTCTGTCGGGGGAAACTGGGAGGAGTGAGGGGCAGCCCGGAGCCGCCCCTCGACACAGGGGACACAAGAAGGTCCGGGTCCCGAAGGAAGGGGAGGGAGAGACCGGGGAAGACCAGAGACAAGGACACGGGAAGCCATGCCCCGAAGACGAAGCAAGGAGGGGTGGCCAAGACGGTGGTGCCACAGGAGAGTCTCGTGAGACAGGCGGCGACACGAGCAGGGGGCAGACTCAGGACCAGACCTGGACGCAGCAGCAAACACCTGACCCGACGCAGCTACCTGGCCAGACGCAGGGACAGGAGGAGACGCAGTGGTCAGTGTGTAGAGACTCGACCCTGGCCGACGCGAGAACGTGGCCAGGTGTCGGCCTGTGCGGGCATCCGAGCAGTGGGTCACCCGCTGACTCGCAGGAGTAAACTGGTGAACCCCCGCATCCTGCAGGTCAGCACCACTCACCAAGTTCGTCGAGAACGAGGGGAGGTACAGACCAGACAAGGTGCCCGAGGGGGCAGCCGGACACGGGAGGACAGTGGAGAAGTGAGAGAGGACAGGACCCCCAGAGGGGTCAGCCAGGGAGACTGCAACCGGCCGGCCAAGCGGCGTGAGTGTGGTGCGGTCTCGAAAGAAGGAGCGAGAAGCCCCTGAGTCAAGTGTGAAGGTGAGGGAGGCCGAAGCCGACGCAGTACCTGAGAGCGCAGCCTCACCAGTACCTGAGAGTGCAGACGCACTGGCACCTAGAGCAGCAGCCGCAGAAGTACCTGGCGCAGCAGTACCAATGCCCGGGTCGGGCGGGAAACACTGGTAACAGTCACCCTCCTCACTAATAGTCACAGCATACATGGCAGCAAGGATAGCATCAAAGTCAAGATCAAAGACAGCTACGCCAGCCCGAGACAGCTCTCCCCAACGGGGAATCTCACTGGCCTCGGGGAACTGCTGACTCCAAGCGTCCGTCAGGCGGCCAAAGCAGCGCTGAGTGGGGTGCGCACCCCCACACTGCTCACCCGCTCGGTCACCGGAACGAAGGACGTAGGTGCACGGACCAAAACCCCCACCCCGCTGACGCTGCGTGTACCACTCACGGAGCTGCTGGGGCGGGGGGATGTCCCGCGAACGCTGCTGCTGCTGCTGCTGCTGACGCTGGCCACCACCAGGGCCGCTACGCAGCGGGGCACCACCCCGACCAGCTCCACCCCCTCCGCCACCGCTGCCTCCACCTCCACCACCACCGCTGCCTCCGCTCCCACCGCTGCCGCCACCACCGCCTCCTCCTCCGCTGCTGCCACCGCCACCACCGCCCCCGCCACCACTCCCACCGCCACCCCCACTCCCTCCTCCGCCTCCACCGCCTCCTCCACCGCCCCCGCCAGCTCCACCCGCGCCCTTGCCCCCCTTGCCCCTGCCAGGGCGGCGTCTCCCGCTAGGGGCAGACGCCGCGCAGACCGACTCAAGACCAAGCAGGTCGGCAGCAGCAGCAGAGGCAACAGAGGGCAGCAGGGGGGAAGGAGAACACCCCTCAAAGATGGGGGTGCGAGGGTCACCACGAGAGGCTCCTACAGCGACGATGCTCTTCTCCGCCGCCAGGAGGGACTTCTCGAGGAGGTCGACAGTGAGAGTGGTGGGACAGACCGAGAGGTAGTGGTCCCTGACTACGTGAAGGGAGTCAGGGAGGCGTGTGACTATGTAATAGAGAGTGATGTACATGGGGGGGGGGTTCTTGGCGCAGAACTCAGCAGGAAGGGCGGCGCGGTAGCGAGTGTCACTAGTGCGGAGGTGCGTAATGAGGTCAGCGACAGTGGGAAAGGCAGTAAGGTCAGGAAAGAGGTACGGTAGCATGAGGCGGCTCAGGGCAGCAGTGGCAGGGGAAGAGTAGCGCGCAACTACAGCGTCGTACAAGGTCTGAGCACTCTTGTACTGACTAAAGTGCGCGCGCTCAGTGGTAGGCAGGTGGCGACGCACAGCAAGACGTGCAGCAGCATCGCGGGTGGCCCACTGAGAGCGAACAGTGGGGTCAGCATCAGTAGCAGGGGCAGGAGAGGCGCCAGAGGTGAGGTCAAAGAGGGAAAGACCGTCCGCCCTATCGCACTGTAAGAACAGCTGCAGGTCGTCGACCCAGACCTCAAAGTCAATGGCTCGACCCTCAGCGTCAAAAGCGAGGACACTAGGGGTAGCCATGACGACGACAGACGAGCAGTGCAAGCAGTAGGGGAAGGGCACGCAGTGACAGTGGGGCTGTGCTCACCGGACAGGGCAGGTCGGGCGGCTCGGCAGTAGGGCGGCTCGGCTGCTCAGCGGCTCGGCGGCAGGGCGGCTCGGCTGCTGGGCGGCTCGGCTGTTGGGCGGCTCGGCGGCAGTGCGGCTCGGCTCCCGGGCGGCTCGGCGGCAGGGCGGCTCGGCTCCCGGGCGGCTCGGCTGCAGGGCGGCTCGGCTCCCGGGCGGCTCGGCGGCAAGGCGGCTTGGCTCCCGGCGGTTCTGCTGCTAGGCGGCTCCCGCAGGTAGGGCGGCGGTAGGGCCGCAGGTTGGGCGGCGGTAGGGCCGCAAGGAGGGCGGCGGGCGGGCCGCAGGTAGGGCGGCGGTAGGGCCGCAAGTAGGGCGGCGGGCGGGCCGCAGGGAGGGCGGCGGTAGGGCCGCAAGTAGGGCGGCGGGCGGGCCGCAGGTAGGGCGGCGGGCGGGCCGCAGGTAGGGCGGCGGGCGGGCCGCAGGTAGGGTGGCGGGCGGGCCGCAGGTAGGGCGGCGGGCGGGCCGCAGGTAGGGTGGCGGGCGGGCCGCGACGTGAGGGCGGCGGGGCCGCTGTAGTGGGGCGGCGGGGCCGCTTAGCAGAGAGCGGCGGGGCCGCGTGAGCAGGGCGGCGGGGCCGCGTGAGCAGGGCGGCGGGGCCGCGAAGCAGAGGGCGGGCGGGCCGCGACGTGAGGGCGGCGGGGCCGCTGTAGCAGGGCGGCGGGGCCGCGTAGCAGAGGGCGGCGGGGCCGCGAAGCAGAGGGCGGCTGGGCCGCGCGAGCAGGGCGGCGGGGCCGCGAAGGAAGGGCGGCGGGGCCGCGTTAGTAGGGCGGCGGGGCCGCGAAGGGAGGGCGGCGGGGCCGCAAGGGGCGACACGGAGGGTCGCTAAAAAAGGAAAACGCGCCTCGGGGCGCGCTTCGGTGGGCCCTAGAAGCAGTCCCTAGGAGGGGACCTGCTCTGATTCCATGTGGAAATGAGGAACGAGAATGGGTGAACTATGAAATGAAGTGAGTACAAATAGGAAACCCTAATTGGGTTGTACCCCCTATGGGATACCCCACTATAGCCTACACAACAGCATAAGCTATATAATGTTCTGACAAGTAGCTGGAGAGCGTGCTATATAAAACGACTATTGAAGACGGTACATCTGAATAAAGTCTAGTTTTGAGGCGCCTCAAAACTAGCATAGCATGGCCAGGAGACTTTTGAGTCGACTCAAAAGGAGGTGACTTTTGAGTCGACTCAAAAGAGGTGACTTTTGAGTCGACTCAAAGGTGGTGACTTTTGAATCGACTCAAAAGTCTAGTTTTGAAGCGCCTCAAAACTAGCATAGCATGGCCAGGAGACTTTTGAGTCAACTCAAAAGGAGGTGACTTTTGAGTCGACTCAAAGGAGGTGACTTTTGAGTCGACTCAAAAGTCTAGTTTTGAGGCGCCTCAAAACTAGCATAGCATGGCCAGGAGACTTTTGAGTCGACTCAAAAGTCGAGACGGTACATCTGAATAAAGTCTAGTTTTGAGGCGCCTCAAAACTAGCATAGCATGGCCAGGACGTGCAGCTGGAGAGCGTGCAGCTGGAGAGCGTGCGTGCAGCTGGAGAGCGTGCAGCTGGAGAGCGTGCAGCTGCAGAGCGTGCAGCTGGAGAGCGTGCAGCTGGAGAGCGTGCGTGCAGCTGGAGAGCGTGCAGCTGGAGAGCGTGCAGCTGGAGAGCGTGCAGCTGGAGAGCGTGCAGCTGGAGAGCGTGCAGCTGGAGAGCGTGCAGCTGGAGAGCGTGCAGCTGGAGAGCGTGCAGCTGGAGGGCGTGCAGCTGGAGAGCGTGCAGCTGGAGAGTGTGCAGCTGGAGAGTGTGCAGCTGGAGAGGGTGCAGCTGGAGAGCGTGCAGCTGGAGAGCGTGCAGCTGGAGAGCGTGCAGCTGGAGAGCGTGCAGCTGGAGAGCGTGCAGCTGGAGAGCGTGCAGCTGGAGAGCGTGCTATATCAAACGACTATTAAAGAGGGTATATCGAAGCAGGTAATGTTGAAGAGGGAGCTTTTTTAGGAGGTGCCATTAAAGGTTTCCTTTTTTTTTTTTAGACACGTAAGAAACACATGTTTCAAACACAAGTAACATCATAGCCCCGAAAACATGTGCTTTCGGTAGGGTGGCGCATAGCAGGGGTGAGAGGAGTTGTTGGATAGGACGTTGAAACAAAGAATGCCTTCGAAGCGCCAGAAACACAGACGTTATCAAGCACAGGGGTGCGTTAGAAGCAGCACCATATATCATGTGTGTGCGTGCAGTGCTGCTGGGAAGGGTGCTTTTGAAGAGTCTGCTTCTGAGGCGCCTCAGAACCAGACACTTCGATTTGGTCATGATGGTGCAAACAGAACCGGGATTGGGCAGGGCAGCAGCAGCGTACCATGGGTGGAATATGTTGTTGGAGAGTGATTGCTTCGATATAAGGCGCTGCCTCCCAGCCTGTAATGCAGTTCGCGCACATTGATGAAAAGAAAGCAAATCAGGATTACATACAGCTATTTTGTCGACGCCTATGACAAAGACAGAAAGAAAGAGAGAACGAATGAAAGAAAGGAAGAAAAAAAGAAAAAAAGAAATAACGAAACGAAGCAGCATGCCTAGGCTGGCATAGCTTGAAAACAGTGCGAGTTATGGTGCTAACAGGCTTGTTAACTAGTCACTGCTCCTCCCACCAGACCTACCCGCCACCTCTCATCCCCTTTGTCGCGTGTCTCGGCACTATCACCTCTCAATTCATCCGCAGCGTTCTGCTTCACTGTGTCAACAGCCATCGCCAGCACTGCTGCCTGCTCAACACCCCTCAGCACACCACCACCCCCTCCTCCCCCACTCGTGCCACCACTGCTGCTGCCGCCATGATCCGCAGCCACTACACTGCCACTCTGTTTCTCTCCCTCGCTCCCACCTCCACCACCCCCCCCCTCCACCAAGCGTGGTGCCAGCAGCACGTCACTCTCAGGCTCAAACAAACACTCCAACTCCTCCATACTCTCCCCTTCCTCCTCCTCTTGCTCTCCATCCTTCCCCCCCTTTCCCTCCCCCTCCTCCCCCTTCCCATCCTTCGCTGCTTCCTCACTTCCCTGCCAGTCCAAGTCCCTCAGTACCAACGCATCTCCTTGCTTCCCGGCTTCGCTTCTCGTTACTGCTAGCACGAGCTGGGCCTTGGGATCAACCTGCAAGCAAGGCAAGCATTCCATGGGAAATAGAGTTGAGCATGCCGCATGGACGGTTTGAGGCACCTCAACTCAACCTCACAAGCTGCGTTGAAATCAATTTTGAGAATTCTCAAAAGCGATTTCAACATTGCATGCAAGGCAAGCATTCCATGGGAAATAGAGTTGAGCATGCACGGTTTCAGGCACCTCAACTCAACCTCAGAAGCTGTGGAAGCACAAACAGTGAAGGAGCGAATGAAGGCGTGTGTGCTGTGCTCAAAGGATGCAAGTGCCGCAGCACCGACTGTGCCTGCGCAAGCTAACAAGCTGAGCACTAGGATCAATCAACCTGCGTGCATTCCATAGGAATAAAAACCGTGAATGCAAGGAGTGAATGAAGGCATGAGTGAATGAAGGCATGTGTGCATGAAGGCATGTGTGCATGAAGGCATGAGTTCATGAAGGCATGAGTGCATGAAGGCATGTGTGCATGAAGGCATGAGTTCATGAAGGCATGTGTGCATGAAGGCATGTGTGAATGAAGGCATGAGTTCATGAAGGCATGAGTGCATGAAGGCATGTGTGAATGAAGGCATGTGTGCATGTGCATCCCTTCGCCCATGCTCACTCCTTCCCTTCTTCACCACACGATCAGCCTTATGGTGCTACTATCCCATGCCCCCTTATTTCCCCATGCCCCCTTATTTCCCCATTCCCCCTTATTTCCCCATGCCCCCTTATTTCCCCATGCCCCCTTATTTCCCCATGCCCCCTTATTTCCCCATGCACCCTTATTTCCCCATGCCCCCTTATTTCCCCATGCCCCCTTATTTCCCCATGCACCCTTATTTCCCCATGCCACCTTATTTCCCTATGCCCCCTTATTTCCCCATGCCCCCTTATTTCCCCATGCCCCCTTATTTCCCCATGCCCCCTTATTTCCCCATGCCCCCTTATTTCCCCATGCCCCCTTATTTCCCCATGCCCCCTTATTTCCCCATGCCCCCTTATTTCCCCATGCCCCCTTATTTCCCCATGCCCCCTTATTTCCCCATGCCCCCTTATTTCCCCATGCCCCCTTATTTCCCCCCTTATTTCCCCATGCCCCCTTATTTCCCCATGCCCCCTTATTTCCCCATGCCCCCTTATTTCCCCATGCCCCCTTATTTCCCCATGCCCCCTTATTTCCCCATGCCCCCTTATTTCCCCATGCCCCCTTATTTCCCCATGCCCCCTTATTTCCCCATGCCCCCTTATTTCCCATGCCCCCTTATTTCCCCATGCCCCCTTATTTCCCCATGCCCCCTTATTTCCCCATGCCCCCTTATTTCCCCATGCCCCCTTATTTCCCCATGCCCCCTTATTTCCCCATGCCCCCTTATTTCCCCATGCCCCCTTATTTCCCCATGCCCCCTTATTTCCCCATGCCCCCTTATTTCCCCATGCCCCCTTATTTCCGTCGTCCACAATGGTCAAGAAGTAGCGGCTGCCCGAGAGAGAAAGGGCCCTTGTGGGGCCCACCACATCCATGTGCACAAGCGCGAGTGGAACCTTGGCTGGTCCCGTGCTGCTGCTGAAAGGGAACTTGGTGAACTTTGTCTCAAGGCATGTAGGGCAACTCCCAATCTCCTTCGCTGCCCCCTTCACCTCCAATCCCTTCAAGCTCCCATCCTTCACCAACTTCTGCAGCATAAGAATGTTGATGTGGCACAGCCTCTCGTGCCACGTCTCCCAATCGGCCTCACCACTCCCAGACGAAGCCTTTGCCCATGCAGCCGTTGCATCCACACCAGCAAGCACCTCACCATGTGATTGCTGTGGCTGCTGCACCTTCTTGACTCCATCCAGGGCCCCAGCAGTTGGTGCACTCTCCTCTCCTCCCGCAGTTGCCTTAGCCGCTGCCGCTGCCTTTGCCGTTGCTGGTGGTTTCCCATTCCAAGGGATGATGGGCAGCTGCCACAGGTCCTTGATGCAGCTGCTCTTCTCCTCCAAATCCCACAACAGCAACTTCCCAAGCTTTGCACGGCAGCTGGTTGGGCCGAACGTAACTTTGGCCTTGCTTTTCTGCAGCCGGCGCACAGAGAGGAGGTTAGCGGATAAACCTTCAACCAACAGCACATTTCCCAGCCCCACAAGCCCCCCATTAGCTCCCATAACCTTGGCATTCCCAACACCAATCACAGGGAGCAAGGCACCTGAAGCGGCAGCCACAAACTTTATCTTCCCAGGGGGCTTCACCTCATCAAGCAAATCTGCCCGTGGAGTCATGTGACTCGTGCAACCTGAATCGATCACCCAGTGAGTGAGGGGGTGCATCACAACCTTCCCAACTGAACCCACATCACCCCCACTCCCTTGCACATCCTCAACCATGAGGAACATCCCAGGGTCGGCTTTACCTTGTGCACCATCACCTTGTGCACCTGAACCTTGCACAGCACCACCTCGTGCACGTTCACCACTTGGCGGCTTCATGCCTGGAGGCGCCCATCCTTCAGGCCGGCTGAAACACTTGAACCACGGGTGTCCAGCCTTCTTGCAGTACCAGCACGCACCCTCCATTCGGGTGCTCCCCCTGCCCCGTTAGAATCCCACGAATTTCGAATATGTTGTAGCCCTAGACCGTGGCTACATTTCCCAGTTTGAATCGTATCAAAATATGAAGTATATCTCGAGTTATGCTTTTTGGCGCACTAGGGGGTATGCTGCCACAGAAATATAACTCAATCACAATTAACTCACAAGTCCAACAAAAGAACATTGGAGTAGCACTAAACCAGGTAGGAGGGGAAGAGGAGGACGAGAGGGAAGGCCCCAAGGGAGTCCCCAACCAAGGAAACCCCATACCACACAATTCCCTTCCCCATAGGCAACAAACTTTGACCTTTGTCACTTTCCAACCCATGCCATCCACCTCACCCAACTTGGCCACACTTGCCAACCTGGTTTGGCACCTCCCAACCACTTGGCAGCATCTACAGTGATGTTGACGCATTTCCCAACCCCCAAGATTCTGTACTCCTTATGGAGTCAACACCACAACTTCCCATAGTCACCACAACCAAATATCAAAAGCATACGAACTTCCAACGTTCGTAACTTTCTTGTTCGTGCTCCGATTGAAGCGATACTTGGTTCGTCGGAAAGCTCTTGAGCAGAGGAGTCACTTCAGATATCTGCTCAAGCCAAATAACATTCACACACACTCAGAAAAACCAAACCGCACAAAACACAAATTCTTGCATACGCTCAGACCACGCATGCAACGCACGAACACATGATGGGAGGCAGACAGACGTGAATGCGTATGATTGCATCACACAACACACCGAGGTGGGGAGAAGCGGCTGCCAAGAACTCCAGCTCAAACTGCCTGTCTTCTACGATGTCATAGCCAAGGGCAGACTCATCCCTGGCGGACAGAGGACGGGTAGGTGGAGCAGCCACCACACGGGTGGCGTAGTCAAGGCGGCGGGTGGCAGCAAAGTCAGCGACAGTTGCAGTAAGAGCCGAGACAGACGATGGAGAGGCATGAGGGTCCGTGACAAGAGAGGTGAGAACACAAGAGACAACAGGACGAGCGGTACGGTAGTAGTAAAAAGATAGGAGTAGAGGAGATAGTAAGAGACAACTCAGGCTGAGAAGGGAGAACAGACGCAGGCGGAGAACGATGAGGACAAGAACAGAGGAGGACAGTGCGAAGGTCGTCAACAGGAGACGAGTGACAAACACGCGGGGACATGTGCGGACACGAGAGTGCAGTACAACAAGAGGAGTGGGCTGGGAAAGAGGAGGAGAGACAACACCCGGGGACGAATCCGGAGGAGAAAGACTGTAAGCAGGAGGAGGCGCTGAGTGGTCTGAAGAGGAGGAAGGGAGACCAAGGTTCCAAAGACCACTCACAGGAGGGAAAGGGTGCTACAAAAGCGCCTGCTGGGGCTGCGGTGGCTGCTGCTGCTGCTGCTGCTGCTGCTCCTACCGGTGCAACTCCTGTTGCTGCTCCTCAAGCTCCAGAGACTCTTGCACCATCCTCTTTTGCTCCTTGCGTGCACGCCGAGAAGCAGCATGGAATCGCGTGTTGTGATGGTGGAGAGGTGATGGGCGACGACGTAGTAGCGCCCTGAGCTTCAAATCCCTTATAACTAGTACCTCCAGCGCCAGTACCACTAACCCCAGCACCATCAAAACTAGCACGTCCAGTGCCAGTACCACCAATTCCCGCACCCCCAGAACTAGAACCTCCAGGGCCAGTACCCATAGCTCCAACACCCCCAGAACTGGCACCCCTAGTGCCAATACCCTCATAACTAGCATCCCCAGTGTCAGCACCCTCATCTCCAGCACCCTCAGAACAAGCACCTCCAACTCTCGTGCCGCCAGGACCAACACCCCCAGAGTCGAACTGCAGCCTCTCACGGTAGTGCCGGCGGCTGCTGCAGTAACTAAGAGGACAACTGTGGGGAAGGAGGCGGGACATGACATGCTACCAAGGGGAGAGGGGTAGCATGGGACACACCTTACCGGGCAGGACTAGGGGGGGCGGATGTACCAGAGGAGCGGGAACGAGGAGATGTGGAGACCCATGCGGACACCAGAGGGGACAGTCGGGCACGAGAGGGTGGTAGAACTGCGTGCAACTGATAATCCTGAAGTAGGATCAGCCAGTGCAACCGGAACCGGAGCAGGAAGCGGAGTGAGGGTCGTGTGGTCGTGAAAGAAGCTCTGAGACACACTGAGACACGTCTTGTGGGCTAGTAGCTACACAAGCACCTAGACTAGAATCACAAGCACCTACACTTGCAACAGGCAAAGAACCTAAATTACGAACACACGAGCAAACGGATCCATCAGCACTCTAGCCCATATCGACAGACATCACAGAGGCGGATTGCGAGGCAGCAAACATTTCTACTGCAGACGTCTGAAACAACGACGGACCAAGACAACGAGACAGTGGGGCCTAGTCCGGTGAGGGGCCTTCATCGTACTCCGCGCAAAGGTGGTCCGTGAGTTGCGCGAAGCACTGTTCAGAAGGGTGAAAGCGGCCACAGGGCTGACTGCGACGCCTTCGCCCTTGTACACCAGGGCTTGCTCATCACCTTTTGTCTCAGCTCCCCAACCTCCTGTTCTAGGTGCGCCGTTATGGCTGCTACCCGCTTCTTTTCCTCCACCGTGTACGCCTTGAGCCCGACTTTCAGAGAGTTCGTCAGAGCCTCCAGGTCACCTCCTCTCTCCTCGTTTCTCCGCACTAATCAGTGACACCCTCCTCTGTACTCCAGGCCGCGGCACTTGGGATACTAGGAGCCTCCACAAACCAGGGCCAGCCTCCCCGCGCCCCCCCCTCTTGCTAAGCTTCACGTGGACCGCGAACCAGTGATCTGTGAACTTTTTGATAAGCCCCACATGCCGCACTTCGTGAACCAGGTGTAGTAGCGACTGCGAGACCAGGATGCGATCAATCCTCGTGCTCTCCCTCACAGCCGCCGAGAAGAAGGTGTATTCTCTCAGGTAAGGATGGATCGCCCTGAAGGCGTCCCTAATGTCAAATCTGCCACAGAGCGCTGTAAGCCTGTCATTTTCCCCTCTCGACCCGACCCCCGGCATCTTATCTAACGCTGGATCCTCTACGATGTTCAGGTTCCCCGCAAGCACCAAGTGGCTCCCACTAGGGATTGCTGCGACAAACGGCTGGAGTACGTCTCTGAAGAAAGGCCCCCTTGACGTCGGGTTCGAAGGGAAGTAAGCTGCTACAATCACCACTACTACTCCTCTCCAAGATAGCGTCACCCGCACCAAGCGGCCGGAGCTATCCTTTTCCGGATCTGTACGAGACACTTCACTGTTAAGAGGTATGATCGCCACCCCCCTCGCTCTAGCAGCAGGTGAGACCGCTACCACCGAGCTAGCTTGTATATGAGTCCAAAAGTTGTGGTTGTCCGGAATCTTGGTGTCTGTTAGGATGATAATTTGCGCTGCTTGCTTTAACCATTTATGAGTGTCATGCTGCCTTTGAAAACAACCTAGTCCGTTAACGTTCAACACACTGAATGAGAAGGTGGTGTGTTTACCCATCTGGAAACTGCGATAGGCCCCAAAGTATCCACGGGCCGGAGGTAAGGTTGTTACTGCCAGTTGAAACCATTGTGTATACACTCCACGACATTACAGAGACTGCATCATTGCCTATCTGGTACCATGCTACTGCATCCCCACTCTCCTTCTGCTCTGACTTCACTTCGTCTTTGCCCCTTTTGCGCGAATACCAAACACCTTCTTCACCGCCTGCAGGCTCTACTTTGCCTTGCTTGCACGAGTTGCCACCCCTGCCGCTCCCATCGCAGATGCATGACGCAAGGAGCCAATGTGCGTGGCCACCTGCTCGAAGGTCTCTCCATGAGGGCGGTTGCAGCACTCCTGAACACACGACCACTCCTCCGCGCTGTACCCAGTTCAGATTAGAACCAGCGCTGGGTCCCGAAGAAGCCTCCTGACCACCCCTGCCGCCTGGAGGGAGGCCGCTGTACAGCACACGCATCACATCTTCGTCAGTAAAAGTGAAGGTAAGAACAAACCAGCAACGTAATCCTCTCCATGCTAACAAGACCCCAACCCCATTACCATTAAGCGCATGGACCCTGCCTATCGACAAGTTTCACTTGGCGATGCTGTTCTGTCGCTCAGTCACATACTCATCATGCAACTTATCCATGTGCTGTCCCTGGCAGGAGCCGCAGGACAGTGACGGAAAATGCACGAGGTATTTCCTGTCGACGAGCGGGTCCTCCACCATGTGGTGCTAGCGGTACGTGTCTCCAGGGTGCGGGACTACCACACCACGGATCTTATCCGTGCCCAGACCGGTAACCGGATCCATTACACTGTGGAAGCCCGCGCCTTGCAGGAACGCCAACCTTTCATGCTTCTGCAGCTTATGGACCACCAGCGACTCATATACGATCGTCGGTCTGATCTCCGCAGGCACACCCTTGAGAAGCACCTCCACCCCCCTCGGCATGTCAGCCTTCGCCTCCACAAAGCCGCTGTTGATCGGGTGCTGCCAGCCGAAAGTGTAGCGCGTCTTGCCATCCGCACCCACATGGTCCACCAGATGCTGCCGGACCACCTCTGCATCTGCGATAGAAGCGAAAGTGACTTGCAGACGGCTGTGGCGGATCCGCGACAAGTACGTCGGAAGCAGCTCCTGAAACGAGAGCGCATCTAATGCCTCATCTAACAACTTCTTCAAGAACACCAGTAGAGCACGCACTAACGCCTCTGCCGCGCGGACTTCTTTAGCAAGGACGTGCGGGATCAGCAGCGTCGGCGTGACCCGAGTCTTGGATGCGAGCAGGCCTTTCGCGTGCAGATCAATCCCTTCGTCGGAGTCGTCGCTCAAATACCTGTCGTCTTTGTCTTCCTCATCACACACCCGCGCAGGAAGCTTAGGGCGACGAGATCCTGAAGGCTCCTGGGGATCGGCAGCAGATGACACGGGAGCACCATGAATCGGCGCGGATGTTGAAGCCACTGGAGCGTCTTCTGCCGCGATGGATGCAGAAGCATTAGTCGCCTCGCTTGCAACGACCTCCTGCTCTAGCACCGGCACTTGTGGGTCCTCCGGAGTTGTCATTATAGCAGGTGCCTTGGTAGATCTGCCTTTCAGAGGCATACTGGGAAGGCGTGAGCAAGGTAGCTGAGAAGAAGCGATGTGTAAGGTGTTGTCCGCCCCCCTTAAGTAGCCTGCTTGCTTCTTGCGGGACTTCCATTCCCAGGGCTGAGGTTGTTGAAACTTAAGCCAGGTCAATGTTATCCCTTGATTATTGCAGGCGATCCCTGCGCGGCTTGCAAACTCCTGCCTAGGGTGCTTGGACCACCAGATCGGCGAACCAGTAGAAAGTTGACACCAACTACATAGAATACTACGCAGCGATAACTCTGGGCTAGTTGATGTATTCTCGATGCTAAGCAGACGTGGAAAGCTAGCTATAAACGAACTGACAAGACTCTGAGTTGACAATGACTGAATGCCTGGAACTTGATAAGCGTGAAAGATACCCGCATGGTGGGTACAATTTTTATGTCCGCTTATAGAGGGCGTCAAGCTGCATCTAATGGTGTAGTCAATGTCAGGATCAGAGACTGATATGTGGGAAATTTTTGAGCTCGAAGCGCCTGACAGAATCCATGGCTGCCTTAACATGACATCGAGATCCATCGAGAAACTCGCAATCCGTGTTTTCTATTACTAATATGAAAATGCGGAATACTTCTGAAGGAAGATGAAGGACACTGAACAATATCCACAGAAACTATATCGAATCGATGTTCCCGCCAAAATCTAATTGTCGAACACCCTGGAGTTTCAGAATTTTGAATTCCCAAGCAAATCGCTTCCTCATCAACATCTTTCATCCTATTACCACTGCAAGTAGCTCTTACTTTGTTCATGGCTCCGGTTTCCAAGACCACCAAAATGGCAGCTGCCGACAGGTCATCGTCCGGAGCCTATTAATATCACACGCATACCAATTTAACGCGCATTTTCCGCTTTCTATGGCTTCGTTTGCGGGACTTGATTCCGCAACTGCACCTACGAGTGACAGCATTGGCCGCGATACTGTCAGACTCGCAAACGAGATAGTTGCGCCGTTGCGAGTTCCAGGCATGATAACAACCAATAAGGTCGGCATTGAACAGGAGGCGTTGGGAACGAAAGTCAAGCTGATGGAAAGAGGAGACGGCTGGCAGGCAGACAGAGGAATTTGTTCCCATCTTGACGGAGGGCCCGACGAAATCCGTTTCTGTTCTGACGAAAGGCCCGACGGTTACCGTTCTTATCCTGACGCGACTGAAGCCACAGGACGGCCTGATGGGGGGAAGGAGGACCGGGGTAGAAAAGGGAAGGAGCAGCCTCCCAGTAGTATTCGCGATGCTGGCGAGTTGGAGAGGCTTCGACGCGTGAGTGGATTCGAAAATGGGGAGAGGGAGGAGAGGGGTCAGCCCGGTAACGGATGTGCTGGCGAGTTGGAGGGGTTACGGCGGCGGCTGAAGGAATGGGAGCGACGCTTCGCCGCGTCGCACGGCCGCGCGCCGTCCCGCGCTGACGTGGAGGCCGATCAGTCTGTAGGTGAGTTGCTCGCTACCATAAACAGCGTAATCGCACATCAGGTGAATTCATGCAAGTTGCTGCGTGGAATTCTCTCAAGTAACGCAGATGTAGCTCATATCAGTAGTCAAGTAATAGCAGGTGAATTCAAGCGCTTCAGGGAGAGTATGCCCTGTTCGGAACAGTGCTGTGTGGGACAGTGCTTTGAGTTTTCCCTCATTTCTTCTCCACACCAATTCGTGTGGCAGCTGAGCAATACGGCGCATATGCTCGGCTGAAGTGATGCGCACCAGTGCATAGGTTATGCATTGCTGCGAAATAGTGCTAAGTGGTACAATGCTTAAAACAATCTGCTCTGTTTGCTCCTCCCCACCAATCCGTGTGGCAGCTGAGCAGTACGGCGCATATGCTCGGCTGAAGGTATCTGCACCAAGGCAACGGTTATTCAATACTCTGTGTGTGAGAGAGTGCTTTGAATGCGTCCGTTTTCTCCTCCCTCCCCACCAATCCGTGTGGCAGCTGAGCAGTACGGCGCATATGCTCGGCTGAAGGAGCGCGAGAGGCGAAAGCGGAAGAGGTCTCAAGAAGGTGCTAGTACCAAACCTGTTACTAAAGAAGGTGGTTCTACTCATGGGCTTGCTGCTGCTGCTGTTGCTGCTGAAGGCGCAAAGGGATCAGAAAAGAAACATCGTGGAATAGAGAACGCCACGGTGGACAGGACAGGAAAGAGAGATCAGACGAAGCATGCGAAACGAGACGATGGAGATGATAGCAGAGAGTTGGGTGTGAGGGACGGTGGGGGCTTGGGTAGAGGCGAGCAGAGAAGCAGCAATTCATATCTGCAAACTCAACAGGTGGACCGAGCAGTGTGGCAGAGCAGCAGACCGTTTAGCCTTGTTGTGTGTGGCACAGGGGGAGGGGGAGGCGGAGGCGGAGGGGGAGGGGAAAGCGGAGGGTTAGGGGGACGGGGAGGGAGAGCAGAATGGAAAAGGGTGGGTGGAGGAGGATGCGGAGGGATGAGGGATGACGAAGAGCAAAGGCTGAGTGCGGGGGAGGGTTTGGCGGGGGGGATGGAGGGAGTGGGGATGGGGCCGGTTGAAGCAAGGTTTGGATTGAGAGGAGAGGGGGGACAGGAAGGGAGTCGGAGAGATGAAGGAGAGGGAGGGGGTTTGACAAGAGAGGGAGCAGGAGAGGAGGCGTATGATGGAATTGCAGTGCCTGTTCGTCCTGTAGGCATGCTGGGCTGTATTGCTCCCTCGAGTCTGCTTGTAACGAGGATAGATAGATGGGCAGGGAGGTGGGGTGTTGAATGCCGAGCTGCTGAGCTGGCAGGTGGAGATGTGCTGCAAGAGGCGGCTGGCGTGGAACCTGTAGAATCTGGCGTAGCGCAAAGAGATGCTGATGTGGCACGGAGAGAGGCTGATGCGTTGCTGGGACGGGCCGATGTGGGTGCAGCACAATGTGTAGAAATAGCAACAGAAACGAGGGTAGCATCTCAAGCTGCTGCTGATGGGATGGTGCGATTCCCAGCACCACCATCAGGAGCAGCAGCAGCATCAGCAGCATCAGCATCAGCAGCAGCAGCAGCAACGCCATTGCCATCACCACTGCCAGCAGCAGCAGCACAATCAGCAGCACCATCAGCATCAGCTGCACCGCTATTGGCAGGAGAAGCATCAGGGGCGGCAGCAGCACCACCAGCAGCACAATCAGCACCATCACCATCACCACCATCATCACCAGCACCACCGTCGAAATCAGCAGAAGCACCCGCAGCATCACCAGTAGCAGCAGCAGGTGGAGCAAGGGGAGCAGCTGATCTGAGTCGCATGACTGTGGTGCAGCTGAGAGCTGCCCTGCTGGCCAATGGGCTGCCGACATCTGGCAGAAAGGCCGAGCTTGTGAGCCGGCTGGCAGGGGTCGGTGAGCATGTGGTTGGGGAGAGATGTGGGCGTGGGGAGAGAGGGCGGGATGAAGGGGTTGAGAGTGAATTATTCGGAGTTAGGGGGTGTGTAGGTAGGGTAGTTGAGAGTAGAGGAAAGAAGGTTGGGGGAAGCGAGGGTAGGGAAGGGGGACGTGGAAGGAGGCAGGCGGTGACGGTGAAGGGGCGGAAGCGAGTGAGAGCAGAGGAGGGCGATGGTGAAGAGGATGGGGAAGCTGGGGAAAGGAGGGAGGAGCAAGGTAACGAAGGCAAGGGGGGTGCAGGGGAGAGAGTGGGTGGGAGAAGAGTCACTCGGCTGGCTGTTCGGAAGGCAAAGGAGGATGGGTTGGAGGGAGAGGGGCAAGGGGATGGGGGGATAGAGGGGGAGAACGGTAGTAAGAGGGGGAAGGGGAGTGAGTCTGGGAGTGACAAGAGTGAGGAGGAAAGTGGGAGTGAGAGTGGGAGTGACAGTGGTTCTGATTGGGGGAAGGAGAGGGAAGAGGTCAGCAGCAGCAGTGAAAGTGAGGAGGGGATGAACGGGGAGGAGGTGGAGGGAGAGAAGCAGGAGGGGAACAAGTCAGTTACAGCAAATGTAGTCACATCCGATAGAGTCACAGCAGGTACAGTCACTCGTGAGGGTGAGAGAGGAACAGGTAAGCCTGCCCGCAGAAATGCACGCGGCAAGACCAAGGGAGAAAGTGGTGTGAGAAGGGCGGGGAAGGTGCCGATGAGAAAAGAAAAGAAACAAAGGAAGGGACTGAGTGGTGCTGCCGATAATGTTGATGGCGGTGGTGCTGCTGCCTCTACTGCTACTCCCGTTTCTCCTGCTGTTGCTGCTGCTGTGGTTGCTGGCAGGGGTGGTACCGGCAGTGCAGCAGCAGTGGAGTATGGATGGGGCAACCCCTTAGCCCTGCAAGCCCTGCGCCAGAAAGAAGCTGAGAGGAGGAAGCAGAGGAGGGTGGCTGCTGCTAGCGGTGCACCTGGTGGTGCTGCTGGGCGTGGGCGGATAGGTTATGGTCTCACCAGCAGCAGGAATGCTAAGGGGCGGCCTGGGTTGCAAGGGAGAGACAACTTTGTTCGCCTGAATATTAATGGTAGGGGGGGTAAGAAGAGGTTCGGGAATGGTACCAAGACGAGCAGGTTCGGGAGTAGGAATGGTGGAGGGAGTAGGTTTGGGAGGTTCCGTGGTGGGTATGGAGGGGGGAGGAGGAAGGGGGGTTACAGGAAAAATGGGAAGGGAGGGGGGGCGGGGGAAGGGGGAGAGTGTGGGATGGGCTTGGGTGGATGGATGGATGATGGTGCGATGATGGGGTTGGAAGGGGCAGGAGAGAAAGGAGAGAGGGGAGAGGCAAGGGAGGGAGGGGCAGGCCTCAAAGTGCCTCAAAGGGAGAATGAGAGGAGGGTGGGGAGAGTGGGAGGAGTGGCACGGAACGACAGAGGTAATGGGGTGTATGGGAAAGGGAGCCAGGATGAGAAGCAGGAGAAAGAGGAGGGGGAGGAGGAGGAGGAGGAAGAGGAGGTGGAGGAGATGGAAGGGGGGGATGACCGGGGCGAGGAGGAGAAAGCTACACAGGGCAAGAGACGAGTACAGAAGAAGAGGAAAAGCGAGGACACAGGAGCGGGAGAAGAGGAGGAGATGAGTGAGAGGGCTGATAGAGTGGAAAGAGCTCGGATGGTGGAGGCAGCTGGAAGGGACCCTTCAGAGGGCAATCTGTTGAGGGTGCTGCGGCACGTCTTTGGCTTCGATCGGTTCCGCGATGGACAGGTGGCGGCCATCCAACGGGTGCTGCGCGGCCAATCAACGCTCCTCGTGCTGCCAACTGGCGCTGGGAAGTCGCTCTGCTACCAGGTGGGCGCTTATGTTACCAGGTTACCATCACTGCTGCCATGGAGCAGTCACTGTTACTCCTCGTGCTTCCAACTGGCGCTGGGAAGTCGCTCTGCTACTAGGTGGGTGCTTATGTTACCAGGTGGGCGCTTATGTTACCAGGTGGGCGCTTATGTTACCAGGTGGGCGCTTATGTTACCAGGTAGCCGTCACTGTCACCAAGTCCCTCAGCCTGATGCCCATTGAACAGACCACATACCCCCCATGTCCTTTGTATCAGCCTGATGACGTTTGAGTCGACTCAAGAGTTGGCCACGGAACCCCTCTACCATAAACCAACAGCACCTCGGCCTCCTTCTGCCACTTGCTCTCTTTCCATCCCTAGTCTTTTTCCATTCCTTCTCTCCTAACAGCTCCCAGCCTTCCTCCTCCTCGGCCCCGCAAGTGGCGTGAATGCAAGACCAGCTTTGAGCTTTGAGACGTGGCGTGAATGCAAGACCAGCTTTGAGCTTTGAGACGTGGCGTGAATGCAAGACCAGCTTTGAGCTTTGAGACGTGGCGTGAATGCAAGACCAGCTTTGAGCTTTGAGACGTGGCGTGAATGCAAGACCAGCTTTGAGCTTTGAGACGTGGCGTGAATGCAAGACCAGCTTTGAGCTTTGAGACGTGGCGTGAATGCAAGACCAGCTTTGAGCTTTGAGACGTGGCGTGAATGCAAGACCAGCTTTGAGCTTTGAGACGTGGCGTGAATGCAAGACCAGCTTTGAGCTTTGAGACGTGGCGTGAATGCAAGACCAGCTTTGAGCTTTGAGACGTGGCGTGAATGCAAGACCAGCTTTGAGCTTTGAGACGGGGCGTGAATGCAAGACCAGCTTTGAGCTTTGAGACGTGGCGTGAATGCAAGACCAGCTTTGAGCTTTGAGACGTGGCGTGAATGCAAGACCAGCTTTGAGCTTTGAGACGTGGCGTGAATGCAGCTCCCAGCCTTCCTCCTCCTCGGCCCCGCAAGTGGCGTGAATGCAAGACCAGCTGGCACACCTGCCGCTGTGCCTTGTCGTGTGCTCCCTTTCACACCCACTCAAATCCCCCACAAACCCCACAACCCCACTTCTCTCCCTCGCAGCTCCCAGCCTTCCTCCTCCCCGATCTGGTGCTAGTGGTCAGCCCGCTGGTGGCGCTCATGCAGGACCAGCTCGCCCACCTGCCCTGACCCGTTACCTCTCCTATTCATCTCTCCCCTCTCCCTCCACCCTCCTCCCTCCACCCTCCTCCCTCGCAGCTGCCTGCTTTCCTCCACCCCGGCCTCACCCTGGTCGTCAGCCCGCTAGTGGCACTCATGCAAGACCAGCTCGCCCACCTGCCGCCCTGCCTGCCCGGTGCCCTTCTCTCGTCCTTCCAGGTATGTGCCTGCCCACTGCCCACCTGCCTTCCCTGTCTTGCGTTATACATACCGCCTCCCCTTGTTGCACTCCTCACCCTTGTTTGTGTCGCCTGAGTGCCTGGTCACACCATCCCTCCTGCGTCTGCTGTCCTGCCCCCTTTCCATCCCCCTCATCTCCTTCTCACCCCCCTGCCTCGCAGTCACCCCAAGAGAGTGGTGCAGTGATAGAGAGGCTGAGAGGAGGGGGCGTGAAGGTGCTCTTTGTGTCGCCCGAATGCCTGCCTGCATCATCCCTCCTGCATGCATCTGCTGTCCTGCCTCCACCACCCATCCCCCTTTCCAAACAGTCGCCAAGTGAGAGCGGTGCAGTGATAGAGAGGCTGAGAGCCGGGGACCTGAAGGTGTTGTTTGTGTCGCCTGAGCTACTGGCAGCACCCTCCTTCCTGCGTCTGCCCTCCAGCCCCCTTTCCAACCCACTCATATCCCTCTCATCCCCCTGCCTCCCCCTGTCTCACAGTCACCCGGTGAGAGCAGTGCAGTGATAGAGAGGCTGAGAGGAGGGGAGCTGAAAGTGCTGTTTGTGTCGCCTGAGCGCCTGGCTGCTCCTTCCTTCCTGCGCCTGCTCTCCAGCCTGCCCCAGGGCGTGTCTCTCGTGGTGTTTGATGAGGCGCACTGCATTTCAGAGTGGTGAGAATGGGTGCATGTGGGTGTGTGCAGCTGGGCTGGGTTTTCTAGGTTCCAGTCACCCTGCAAAAGCTGAGTCTTGTCTTCATGTTTTTATGAAATCTCAAAAGCGAATGGGAATCCCTTTCATGTGCTCTTGAACAAGACCCACTGCATTCCAGACTGGGAAGGAGGGGCGAATGGGTAGATAGATACAATGTGATGTGGGCGGATAGGTAAGGGGGTCTGTGACGAACTGTCTCTTCAGTGTCTTTTGTCGCTATCCACTCTTTCCTCTCTTCACCTCTCATCACCCCTCTTCACCTCTATTCACCTCGCTTAACCTCTCTTCAACTCTCAATCAACGCTGCCAATTGCTTCTCTGTCCCTCTGCAACCCTCGCCGTCATGCATGGCAGGTCGCACAACTTCCGCTCCGCCTATCTGCGCCTCTCCTCCATCCTGCTCTCCAGCGGTCTCCTGGACAGACAGGGAGCAGCAGCTGAAGCGAGGGAGGCAGCAGCAGCATCAGCATCAGCTGAAGAGGCATCAGACCCCAAGGCTTCTGCGGCAGATCCCTCTCCCGCAGATGCTGCTGCTTCTGCTGCCGCTGCTTCTGATGCTGAGGGCACCGATGATTGTCTAGCTGGTGGTGACAGCATTAGCAGCAGCAACATTCCCCGGAGGCGGTGCATTCTCGCCATCACAGCCACTGCCACACGCCTCGCCACGTCATCGCTCATCTCAGCACTGGGCATCCCGCCTGGCGGCGTGATTCGGCGCAGAGTGGTGCGCCCAAATCTGCACCTCTCAGTGTCGATAACCGGGGCCAAAGGGCGGCTGCCTGGGGCTGGGTCAGGGCCTCCTCATGCGGCGGTGGGAGAGAGCATGTGGGGGAATGGGGCAGCAGCGGGGCAAAGTAGGCAGCGGGCACTGGTGGATCTGCTGATGGCTCCTCCCTTTGCTTCTGCCTGCAGCATCATTGTTTACTGCTCCTTCCAGGTGGGTGCTCGTGTGATGTGTGAGGGGTCTGTGTGGGGAAATGGGGCAGTAGTTGTCACTCATGGTGGAAGGGCAATGAGGCAGTAGTTGTCACTCATGGTGGAAGGGCAATGAGGCAGTAGTTGTCACTCATGGTGGAAGGGCAATGAGGCAGTAGTTGTCACTCATGGTGGAAGGGCAATGAGGCAGTAGTTGTCACTCATGGTGGAAGGGCAATGAGGCAGTAGTTGTCACTCATGGTGGAAGGGCAATGAGGCAGTAGTTGTCACTCATGGTGGAAGGGCAATGAGGCAGTAGTTGTCACTCATGGTGGAAGGGCAATGAGGCAGTAGTTGTCACTCATGGTGGAAGGGCAATGAGGCAGTAGTTGTCACTCATGGTGGAAGGGCAATGAGGCAGTAGTTGTCACTCATGGTGGAAGGGCAATGAGGCAGTAGTTGTCACTCATGGTGGAAGGGCAATGAGGCAGTAGCATCATTGTGTACATCACAGGATGCAGGCGTCTTCTGCCAGCAGCATCATCGAGTACTGCTCCTTCCAGGTGGGTGCTCGTGCGGATCAACAGAGCAGCAGACGATCACCATGGGCAGCAGCAGGGCAGCGCAAGCAGTAGGCGTCTCTGAGGTGCCTCACATTGTGGCTGGGCCTGACACACCTCACGACTTGGTATCTCTCCAGGTTCAGGTTAAGCAAGTCAGTGTCCTTTCTTGGCCTATTCTTGCTAGTTGCACAAGCTGCCAATAGGGCCGTGAAATCCCCTGTGAGACACAACATGCTCACAGGGATTTTCACAGCCACTAGCGGGCCGCTCACAACATGCTGTTTCCCTCTCCGCGTTGCCGTCCCTGGGGGCACCTCAACAGTTTCCGTCCTTGCTTGCCTGTGTACCTCTCTCCATCTTTCACTCTCGAATGGTCTCCTCTCCTCGCCTCTCCCCTGTCAGTGGGAGGCTGATGACGTGGCACGCATTCTTCGAGACAACCGGATCGCCGCTCGGGTGAGTTGAGGGATGGGGAGGGAGATAAGGTTTGCCCCCTTGCTCGGGAGGACTTGCAGGTAATTTCTGAGAACCTTCAGAGACCCACGTGCGGATGAGGTTTGTATTCATAGATTTCCAGCAGCTCCTGTGAATTCAGTATGATTGTAAGACTTGGAGCGTGAAACTAAGAGTGTAAAACTATGTTGCCAATGAGTTCTGCAAGCTTTCAGATTCCGGTTGCTTTTCACTATGTTGCCCCCCATTCCCAAAGCGTTCCCTTGCTCTGGTGCTTACATCACTTCATTCATATGTCTCATGTGCTCTCTTCTCTGTCTTCTTCTTGTCTCTTCTCTTCTCGTCTCTTCTCCGTCCTTCCCTTCCCATGCCACCTACCCTCAGAGCTATCATGGTGGTTTGCAAGCGGGGGAGAGGACGCGCATTCTGCAGCACTTCACAGCCAACAAGCTCCGAGTGGTGCGTGCGCTGCTGTCTGCACTGCCTGCACCGCCTGTGCTGCCTGTGCTGCGTGTGCTGCCCATGTGATCTGGTGGCATGGTTATAGTGAAAACACTGAAATGCACTCAAATTCTAATCTGCCATATGAACATCATTTGCACCACTTGTGTAACCATTTGCAAATCTCTCTCTTTCTCTGATTGCCTCTCTGCAGGTTGTGGCAACTCTGGCATTTGGCATGGGCTTGGACAAAGCTGATGTTGGTGCGGTGAGTGGCATCTGGATGGGGGGTTTACGTGAATGAGGGGTGATGGGGATGAGGTTGTGATTGTGGGGGTGATGGAATAGGCGCTGTGAAAGTAAGGTGGGAAGTTTCGGATATCCCTCTGATCAGCCTAATGATCTACTCAACTGCAGTAGTGGGAAGTTGCCATGCAATACTCAACCTGTTAAGACGTCCCAAGGATTCTCTTATCATTTGAATTGAGAAACCAATGTTCTTGCCCATCTGTCATAATCATCACGTGCAGCAAGCGTGCCCTTTGCAAAGGCCACACAAGATGGATGTGCTGCATCCTTCCATCTGCATCCGTCTTGTCTGGCCTTTGCCTGATGTGAGGCAACTCAATAACTTCTGCTACTGCCCTTCCATCCAATCCCCCCCAATCAGGTTGTGCACTACTCGCTTCCTCGTAGCCCAGAGCAATACGTGCAGGTATGATGCGGTGTTGTGCGGTGTGATGGTATGGTGCAGTGTAATAAGGTGTGATGAGGTGTGATGAAGTGTGATACAGTAAAGGGAAATGGAGCCACACCTCGTGACACTGAAAGGGTAGGCGTCGAGTGAACAGGTAACAGGGCATGATGGGTGAGGCAGGAAAGGTTGGAGAAAAGGGATGAGGGTTTGACATTTGCTTTCGTCTCTCCCATCCTCTCTCCCTTCCTCTCTCCCGTCTTCTCTCCCCTCCTCTCTCCCCTCTTCTCTCCCCTCCTCTCTCCCCTCCTCTCTCCCCTCCTCTCTCCCCTCCGCTCTCCCCTCCTCTCTCCCCTCCTCTCTCCCCTCTTCTCTCCCTCTTCTCTCCCCTCTTCTCTCCCCTCTTCTCTCCCCTCTTCTCCTTTTCACAGGAAATCGGTCGGGCAGGTCGTAACGGGCAGCCCGCCTTCTGCCACCTCTTTGTGGACAGCCCCTGCTACCTCCACTACAGTGGCTCAACAGCCTCTCTCCCCATGTCTTTTCTGTCCCCACTCGCAGGAAATAGGGCGTGCGGGGCGCAACGGTCAGCCCGCCTTCTGCCATCTCTTTGTCGACCGCCCCTGCTACCTTCGCCTGCGCAGCCTTGCACACTCGTTAGTAGCACGCTCACTCATTAGTAGCATGCTCACTCGTTAGTAACACGCTCACTCGGCTGTAGCACACTCACTCGGCTGTAGCACGCTCACTCGGCTGTAGCACACTCACTCTCACTCGGCTGTAGCACACTCTGTAGCACGTTTGTCTGCAGCACACTCTGATGTAGCACACTTGTTAGCAGCACACTGGTTTGTAGCGCACTCAGTTGTGGCGCACTCGTTAGTAGCACACTTAATTCAGTGCGCTCTTCTTCACTAGTTCACTCAATACTCTTCACTAGTTCACTCAATACTCTTCACTAGTTCACTCAATACTCTTCACTAGTTCACTCAATACTCTTCACTAGTTCACTCAATACTCTTCACTAGTTCACTCAATACTCTTCACTAGTTCACTCAATACTCTTCTCTAGTTCACTCAATACTCTTCACTAGTTCACTCAATACTCTTCACTAGTTCACTCAATACTCTTCACTAGTTCACTCAATACTCTTCACTAGTTCACTCAATACTCTTCACTAGTTCACTCAATACTCTTCACTAGTTCACTCAATACTCTTCACTAGTTCACTCAATACTCTTCACTAGTTCACTCAATACTCTTCACTAGTTCACTCAATACTTCAACATTTTTCCCATCTCACCCCATCTCTCCACCTCAACCCATTTTTTCCCATCACACCTTTTAACCCCCCCGTTTAATCCCGTTTCCCCCCAACTAAAGGGACGGAGTATCGGAAAGCACTGTAGCTGCCTTCCTCTCTCTCGTCTTTGGCGACTACCAACTGCCAGCAGCACCTGAAGAATCACCTGAAGAAGCGCCTGAAGCAGCAGTGCAGATTCCTGTGTTCCGGACCATTCCCAAGGAGAAGACGGCCCAGTCCCTTGACATACGCCCAGAGGTGAGGGCAGGAAGGAGGGAGAGATGGGGGATGAATGCAAAGGTGAGGTGCGTAAGGAGAGAGGTAAGGTTTGGGCACAGAGAGCTCTTCGCGTTCAACTGTTAGACTGACTGGAAGTGCAGCAGTTACAAAAAAAAAGTACAAAAAATAACTTAAGCTCAAGGGTGGGACAACTGAGACGGTTTCTTAGTTGCAGACCCCAGTGCAGTTGGTGATTGATGAATAAACGACTGGCTCACAACAATCAATGACTAATGAAACGTCTCAGACCATTCTGGCAACTCTATGTTAGTTTTCACAGCAGAGCCGTAGGGAACGGCTCACAGGTCTGTCTTCGAATTTGAGTGAACGGACGACGTTTTCAGGTGCCCACAAATTGTCGATCTACAGGCGCACAGGCAGGCCCCTTCCCCCTCTCCCCCAACCCCATCCCCCCACCCCACCCTCTCTCTCGCTCCTCTTCCCCCTCTCCCCCAACCCCATCCCCCCACCCCACCCTCTCTCTCGCTCCTCTTCCCCCTCTCCCCCAACCCCATCCCCCCACCCCACCCTCTCTCTCGCTCCTCTTCCCCCTCTCCCCCAACCCCATCCCCCCACCCCACCCTCTCTCTCGCTCCTCTTCCCCCTCTCCCCCAACCCCATCCCCCCATCTCTCGCCCCCCACCCTCTCTGTCGCTCCTCTTCCGTCCCTATCAGGTGATGGAAACCATTCTAGTGTTCTGTGAGTCGCCAGCACCGCCATCCGAGTCGACTCACCACCGTGCTCTGGCGGTGTCTCCAGAACACCGGACATCTCCGGCTGCGGATTCGCTGCCCCCACCACCCTCAGCAGCACCGTCACCCTCCGCGCCACCGTCGTCACCACCCTCAGCACCCGCCGCATCACCACCACCACTGTTATCACCCACCCCCCCTGCCGCCCGTGCTTACCTGCGGATGATGCCTGAGGCGCCAGCTTCCTGCCTGCTCTCCTTCCACAAGGTGCGGCTTTGTAGTTTATGTATGGGACGGCTCTACATGTATTTTCAGGCGGCTCAACTTTTGAGGTTTTTTTAGGCGCCTCAAAAAGCCGCTGCTTCCTGCCTCCTCTCCTTGCACAAGGTGCAGTTTGCAGTTCATATAAGAAACGGCGCTCCATGTGCTGTTTTCCATTTGCCGTTCACCGCTCTCAATCTCTCAATACCACTGATACAGCGATTCCCTATGCCAATCCCGCTCGCCCCGCCCTTTCTCAATGCCTTGTGAGTATTGTCGTAAGGCCGGTTCCCATCCCCATTCCTATGCCACATGTCCCCATTCTCTAATGCTTAAAGCCTTGTGTATGATTCCTTATGTATTGCCTATGTATGAAATCCTCTGCGTGAATTCCTATTCCCTTCCTGTTCCCATGGCAGACCCCAGTGGAGGTTCTTTCCAGGAACTTTCCTCTTGTGAAGGCCATTCTTGCGTGAGTCAGCTCCCGCTGTTCCTTGCATCCGCTGTGCCTGTGGTTTCTCCACCTACTCGGTCTCTCCTCCTTCCCATCCACCCTCAGTGCGTCGTCGCAAAACAAGGCAATATGAGTCGACCTAAGAGTCACCATTCTTGCACGAGGCACCTTGCGTTGCATCAGCTATGTTGTGCCAAGTTGCCAACTATCCCACCCCCCCCATTCCCCAGACATCCTCCATTCCACACTCTCAACTGCCGCCCATACCACCACCCATGCCACCACCCATGCCACCACCCATACCACCGCCCATGCCACCACCCATGCCACCACCCATGCCACCACCCATGCCACCACCCATGCCACCACCCATGCCACCACCCATACCACCGCCCATGCCACCGCCCATGCCACCACCCATGCCACCACCCATGCCACCACCCATGCAACCATCCATGCCACCACCCATGCCACCACCCATGCCACCGCCCATGCCACCACCCATGCCACCGCCCATGCCACCGCCCATGCCACCGCCCATGCCACCGCCCATGCCACCGCCCATGCCACCACCCATGCCACCGCCCATGCCACCGCCCATGCCACCGCCCATACCACCGCCCATGCCACCGCCCATGCCACCGCCCATGCCACCGCCCATGCCACCGCCCATGCCACCGCCCATGCCACCGCCCATGCCACCACCCATGCCACCACCCATGCCACCACCCATGCCACCGCCCATGCCACCACCCATGCCACCGCCCATGCCACCGCCCATGCCACCGCCCATACCTCAGAGCCGACCCCTGCCCCCGCAATAGGCAGTACGCAATCCAACCGGCAGTGCTGGCTAGTCGCGCGCACATGCCCCTGCCTCTGCCACCTCTGTTGCCCATGCCCTCACATTCATCTCCCTTCAACGCTCTCTCCGTACCCCACGCAATGGACGGTACTCGGTCCAGCTGGCACCGCCGGCCAATCACGTGTTCACGCTGGTGCGCATGTCACTGGCACTGCTGCTGGCACTGCCACTAGCTCTGCTGCTGGTCATGCCCTCATATGCCCCTCTGGTCTCCACCCTCCGCCTTCCCTCCGCCTTCCCTCATTACCAACCCCAGCCCTTGCAACGGGCGCTACACCATCCAGCTGGCACTGCTCACGTGTCCACGCCGCTGCCCATGCCACTGCCACTGGCACTGCTGCTGCTCAAGCCGTCACATTCACCTCTGGTTCCGCCCTCGGATTGTTAGACACTGCTGTGTCTAACAATTCGCTAACATCCCACCCTCCGCCTTCCATTCACCTTCCTTCCGCCGCCCCCCTGCCTTACCTCAGGACCAACCCCAGCCCCTGCATTGGGCGCTCCACCATCCAGCTGGCCCCACTGGTCAATCATGCGCTCATGCCTGTGCCACTGCCGTTGCCTGTGCCTCTGCCTGTGTCCTATTCACCTCCCTCCCCCCCCTCCGCCTTCCCTCAGCACCAACCCCAGCCCCCGCAATGGGCGGTATTCGGTCCAGCTGGCACCGTTGGCCAATCACGCGCACATGCCGCTGCCTATGCTGCTGGCTGCTTTGAGAGACCTGCAGGTATGCCAATGAGGATCAATCCCCTTAAAGTCGACAAGTTTTTTGGGCGCCTCTTAAGTGCTTCGAGACGTCCCATGGGGATCAATCTTGTCTCAGAACTAGTTGTCAGGAAGAGTTTTTTGGGCGCCTCTAAAATGCTCTCGAAACTCTAAAATTAGTTCTGAGGCGTCCCAGAAGAGTTTTTGGGCGTCCCGAAACTAGTAGACAAGTATTTGAGGGGCTTCAAAAGTGCTTGCTGCCTTGCAATGCAAGTATAGCAACGCGGATCAATCTCTCTAAGGTAGGCAGATAATAGCTTCAAATACACGGCGGATCGATCTGGTGTTCTTCTTCACCTGTTCCTTCTCCCGACCATACTTCCTCTCTTCCCTTATCCCTTGCGAAATTGCGTTTTGAAAACGCTCAAAAGTGATCCTTGGTATCTCTTTCCCACCCTCTCCTCCCATCCATACTTACTCTCTCCCGTTTTCCCTTCCAGAGGTGTGGCGAGATCGTATGCGAGTTCCAGGAACCTTCCTTGTGCGTGCAGCTCATGTCTCGCCCCAAGAGTCTCTCTTCTCTGGCTGCAGCCATCTGCCACCGACTGGCGGCTGTGGAGAGGTCAACGGTGAGCTGCACGCATTCCAGTATGTGTAGGTATTCCAGTATGTGAGATCATGCTACACGGCACGCATCTTATATCCTACTACAAGTCTGCTGCAGGGGTAAATTTCTAGTGCCACAAGTGTGTGTACCCCCTCCCTCCACTATTAGGCGGGCAAGCCTGATGCCATGTATGCCGTAGCAGTCGCAGCATTGTATGTGTGTGTATATGTGTGTGGATTGAAGGTGACTCCTGACGGTTTTCAAATTAAACTACTGTGTGTACCCCCTCCCTCCACCACCATCAGGTCTCGAAGCTTGATTCCATGTACGCTGTAGCGGTCGCAGCATCGTGTGTGCGCGTGTATGTATGTGGATGCAAGGTGGCTCCTGTCAAATTAACCAACTGTGTGTACCCCCTTCTCCACCATCAGGTGGCAAAGCTTGATGCCATGTATGCCGTAGCAGCCGCAGCAGCCCAGCTCCCAGCAGCACAACCAGCAGCACAACCAGCAGCACCACCAGCAGCACCACCAGCAGCACCACCAGCAGCACCACCAGCAGCACCACCCCCACAGTCAGCTGAACTGTCGGACAAGCCTGCTCCCTTCAGTGGAAGCACGAAAGACCCTTCTACCGCTGCCACCTCTGCCACTGCTCCAACCGCTGCAGAGAGCAGCAGGTCGCAGGGTGGCAGGCAGACTGCCCTCCTGCAGCGCTGCATCGCGGCTTTCTTTGACTCCCCAGATGGGTCCGTGCCGCCCCTGCTCGCTGCTCCTGCTCCTGTCACCACTGCCAGGTGAGATTGCTGGTTGCCTGTGATTTGCACACACCCTTGCTTGCACATGATTGTTTCAGCCACATGTGAGCAATGGCCGCCACACATGGACACACACTAGAATGCACAGAAATACAATGTATGCATGCATGCAGGAGTGTGTGGACGACGAGTGCACGCATGTGTATGGTTGCGCCACTTGCATGCTTAAACACATGCATGCTTAAACACTTGCATGCTTAAACACTTGCATGCTTAAACACATGCATGCTTAAACACTTGCATGCTTAAACACTTGCATGCTTAAACACTTGCATGCAGACACACGTGACATGTGCATAAAGCTCTAAACACATGTTCTGCTACCTTCGTACTGACTCAGTGGAACGTGTCTCCATACCTGCTCTCCTCCTTCCCCTGCCTGTGCATGCACCATCGGGCTTGTGACCGGCTTCGTTCGGAGTTCGCCTCTCATCAGTCAATTCCTCCGGAGTGACATCAAAGTGAGTGGGAAATAGAGGTAACGGTGAGTGTCATCAAAGTGAGTGGGAAATAGAGGTAACGGTGAGTGTCATCAAAGTGAGTGGGAAATAGAGGTAACGGTGAGTGTCATCAAAGTGAGTGGGAAGTAGAGCTAACGGTGAGTGACATAAGGTTGAGTGACATCAACGTGGGAGGCATTTACAGGGGGGCATGGAGGTGTGTGCAGTTCTTCATACAAATGCTCAACTACACACTTGCATGCTTGCTTTCACGCTCACACCCATGCACACATCCATAGTCATGCCAATCTCACACATCTTCCACCTGTCCCTCTCTTTCCTCCAATCTCCAGGTGTTTCTGCGCTGCCAGCAAGTCAATCCCGATGCGCCACCTGTCAACGCGCGTGCCGTTGCCCGCATCCTCCACGGCCTGACCAGCCCGGCCTTCCCGGCTTCTGATTGGTCCAAACATCACTTCTGGTGGGTCGAGTCAAAGGGTTCACTCACTGCTTCTCGTGCGCCAACGTTGCTGTCAAGCCACTAAGTGCCAACTCCCATGAAGCTGTGTTTTGAGTCGACGAAGGCCCATTCACTGCTTCTCGTGAATCAAGCTCACTGTCAAGACACAAAGTGCCACTTCATATCAGTTCCACATTCGTTTTCTTTGAATGGTTACATTCTTCACCTGCATTGGTCCGCTGCTGCTGGTTCTCCCGTGCTGCTTCTTTCAGGGGCTGCTACGGGGAAATTGACCTTCACACTGTGAGGAGGATACCAGTGGAGGAACATGTTGCAGCGACACTCCACAGAGCAGATACTTGAGTTCACTCACATACTGATACTGGTTATCCTCTCTGCTGGCGCTCCCATGCTGTTTCTTGCAGGGGTCGGTACGCGGACATTGACTTTCACACAGTGAGGAGGATAGCGGTGGAGGAGCTGATTGCCTCAAGCCTGCACAAAGGAGGTACTTATGTTTACTCACACACCCTGCTGATTCTCCCATGCTGTGTCGTGCAGGGGTCGGTACGTGGACATTGACTTTCACACGGTGAGGAGGATAGCGGTTGAGGAGCTCATAGCATCTAGGCTGCACAAGCCCGCTCGGCATCCACTGCTGATCTGATACACTTGTATGCTGTATCCAGCTGTGGCATATTCATTCTTTGCTGCTTGCTTTTCATGGTTTTTGCCTAGTCATTGCGAAACGCTGAATGATTGCAATGTACATACTGTGTAAGGTTATAAGTGAGCTTCGATAGCAACATGAATCAACAAGTCATTGCCAGACCGGCAAACAAGTGGAAGAGTTGAACTGTGTGAGAGTTTGGGGCGCAGATTTTTCTCGTGCGGAGTTCGGTTCGTTCAAACCCTCACAAATCATTATTTCCAGGCGGTTTTTTTGTTCCTTTTTAATACACAATCAATTACAGTAATGAAGCCATTTCTATTTTGCTTCTACGAAGGTCTGTACAAAGCATTTCAACATGAGTTTGCCCAAGTTTTCACATTTTATTTCTAACGGACTACTATCCTATCAAGATAACGCGCCCATCCCATATTGAGAGAGGAAACACGTGTGCGGAACAAGGATGATAAGGGCGCGTCACCTCTGAAGCAAGTACCCAAAATTCGAGCGCTGTCATTTTTTTCGGTGCCCAAATACCACCATTTTGGTGTTCGAACAAGAGATGAGAATCTGGTGAAAGGTGACAGTGTGTCACATGAAGTGACAGGTGTGTTCGAAAATGCGACGTCGCCCACCGTGCGACGTCGTTTAACAATCGCCAAAAGGTTTTGATTGCATTACGAACATTACAAGGCTGTACATAGAAACCCGGAAACTTTTTTCGTGCTGTTCGCGGGCGTCGTGGGCGCTTATCCTGCAAAACATCCGAACGGCCTCATTCGAACACCATACGTGAAATCCTTCGTGCTGGATGTGACAGCTCTGTATGTATTGCGATGAATGTATTGCGAGATTTTGTGATTTATGTAACTTGTCGCCTGTTCGAACAAGGGGCTCTGTTCGAAATTCGAGGTGATGCGCCCTAAGGAGAGAAGAGTTGGAGAAGAAGAGAAGGGCCGAAGGAAAGGTGGAAAGAGGGAGATATGTGTGAAATAATAACCGCCCGTCATTGTTCTCCCCTCCCACGCCTTCCCTTTCCCATCTGCTCCACGCGTCGCGGTCTTCGCCAGTAGTTCGTTTGCAGCTCTCGCGCAGCTGATTAGTTTGCGATCGCGACTTTCCCTGTAGTGACGTTCCCTTCCCACGCGACCGTTGCCGTTACGTACACTGGCGCAAGGGTTCCGCGTTAAGAGTGGTTTCGTTACAAGATGGCGGTGCGAGGAGTGTGGCAGCTCCGACGGCTTGTCGTCAACCACTGTGACTTCTCCGGCAGTAGCCGCGGCGCGAGGTGGGCCTTTATTCGAAAGAGAGATGCGCCTTCGGTATCCCGTTGCGCTTATTTAAAGCAAGCAGCATTTTCCCGTTCGTTTCATCATTCGAAACCAGCCGTTGCCCGTATCCACGATACTGCTTCGGATCTGCGATTCCCTCGAATGATTAGAGTGCCCTGAGCCCTCGCTCCTTGCTTTGGATCCACCCTGAGGTGCCCTGAGTTGCCCCGAGGTGCCCTGATCGCCCTGAGCGCCCTGATCGCCCTGAGCGCTCTCCTTGAGCGCCCTCTCTGAGCGCGTGAGTGCCGTGTGCGCGCTGAGACAAGCATTTTCTCGATCGATCAGAGTGGCCTGAGCCCTCACTAGAGCCCCTTCCGTGCTCGCGATTCGGGGACGGTTCACACGCACGCGCGTGCGACTTTCGACGCGCCGCGAGTCAACAGCCACGCGCGGTATGGTGGAGAGAGGTATAGTGGAGGGCGGTATGGTGTAGAGAGGTATAGTGGAGGGCGGTATGGTGTAGAGAGGTATAGTGGAGGGCGGTATGGTGTAGAGAGGTATAGTGGAGGGCGGTATGGTGTAGTGTAGGGAGTTTGTACCTCTGACGTATTTCGGAACTTTGATTTCTGAATCGATTCCAGAAACAGTGAGGATCCATTTCTCCTACTGCAATCACCCAGGGGCCAATCCCCAGCATGTGATGCGCACCTTGCTTGTTCCTCTTGTTGCAGGTGGGCTTTTGAGTGTCCTCAGAACCCACTTCAACCCTTTACTCCACTCCACTCCACCTGCGATAGCGTGTCTTCCTGCCTTCTCCCATTTGTACCACAGCAGAGGGGTCCACTCCTTCACAGCAGGAGTCGTCTCATTTTTCTTCTCTGGCTGGATTCATTCTCACCCTCTTTTTCTACTGCAGTGACTTTCGAGTCGCCTCAGAAGTCTCCTTTTTCTTTATATTGAGACGCCTAGTGAGAACTGTTTCATTCCACATACATATCCGTTAACATACTGCAGCTGGCGATACATATGATCCCTTTGCAGTAACGTTTCTGTGCTGTGGCATCTTCTGGTCTGCCTGTGCTAGGGAGTTTGTGGCCTCCCTCTTGCTGCAGTTCCAGATGGCAATCTGCATCTGGCGGTGGAGACTGTCGCACTGGTGCCCCATTCACACTCCTCCTCACTGCTGTCTTCTCACGTTCCCTCTGCCTGCCTGCCTGCTTGCACACGCTGCAGGGAATTTGTGGCATCCCTCCTGCCGCAATTCAAAGAGGGCAATCCGCAGCTAGCAGTAGAGGCCGTTGTTAACAGGGGCAAGCACCCAAACCTGCACGCTCAATACGGTATGTGCGTGTGTATGTGTGTCTGTGTGCGTGTGCATGTGCATTTTCTGTGTACGGGAGCGCATGTGCATGCATGTGTGTGCTGGCATGTGCATGCATGTGTGTGCTGGCATGTGCATGCATGTGTGTGCTGGCATGTGCATGCATGTGTGTGCTGGCATGTGCATGCATGTGTGTGCTGGCATGTGCATATCTTTGTCACACTTATCCATCACCACCTCCCCCTAACTTCCATGCTGGTTGCCGCACTGATTCATGTTCCAACCCCACTTACCACCCTCCTCCCACACCCCGCCACGCCACGCTATGCCATGCAGTGAACGGGAGGGAGAGGGTGGTGGATGTGAAGAATCAGGAGGCAGAGACCATTCTAATCCAGGCTTTAAGGCTGCGGAATTCCACGGGGCGAAAAGTGGTCAAGCTGAAGTCGAGGCACGAGTCGACACGGCCCAGCATTCAAGGCATGTGGACTCCTGAGCTCCAAGCCCAGCTTAGATCACAAGCAGCATCGTAAGGGACTTGGTATTACCGTAGGTGGTGTGCTTGTACAGTGGGGAATTTTTGTGGGTGGGTTGTCTTCTTCCTTGCAATGCAGCATTCGAGGCATGTAACGGTCACCTTAGCTTCAGAAAACCCAGCTTCAATCACAAGCAGCAGAATGAGAGTCAGCATTATGCAGTATGCTTGAAGAGGGGGATTCTTATTGGTGCTTGTCTGTTAAGCTACAGTAGAGAAGGTTATACCGTAGGTCCGTAGTAATGGTACTTGTTGTTGGAAACAATCGGTCCTAAGCGCCTCTGTCGTGTCGAAACACTAAGACACAAAAGAAACGAAGTATAACGAATCACCGACGAGTCAACCCTCGGAGGTTGAAAGTAACTGTTGGAGGTTACGCGAAAGTCAAAGGTCAGCGACCTTTGACCTGACAAAGTACAGCGCGACAGCAAGGACAAACAACTGACTCGGTATTGAGCAGTTGCCCGAGTCGTCACCGTATCGAACCGCAACAGCAATAGTAAAACGGTTATTAACTGTATCTCTTCGTATTCCTTGTACTCTTATAAAAGCTTGTATCTCTTTGTTTTAATCAACTTACTTTGCCCTCACATACTAGTGCAAGGTGGTTCACAACTCTTTAATTAACGCTTCCGCTACTACACCAACTCTACCCAGAGTTCACCCCTGCAAAGATCCAAAAGGGGTTTTCAGCCCAACATGGTATGAGAGCTATCAGGGGGAATTCAACTTCTATACCGACAACATCAACAAGCATGGCTACACAAAAGGAAAGGAGCAACTCCAACGGCTCCCAGGGCACTACTCCTACTCCACCTCCTGCCTCTGGCCTACAGACAGAGGAGGGCACAGCAACAAGACCCAGAGCAATATCTACCGAGACTCCCGCGAATCAACCTGCAGACTTCGACCAGAGCATGATGGAGAAGTTTTTCTCCTTCATGTCCTTCTACGAGCAACACCAGCATTCGGCACCTGCGCAGTCACACAACAGCAACAACAACGGAGCAACACCCATGAGTCTCGACGGCTCATCATATGCACGAGGAAATCAACAACAGCAGCCTACCTTTGCTCCGTACGAGCGCGGGTCCATCAGCTTTATGCCACACCCACAGCCTTCACCTGGACAAGAAAAATCACTGGACGCATTACAAGTTCAGTCGCAGTTCGCACACGTTCTGAAGATGCAGACGTCAAGACCTTTCGATGGAAAGGACTTCTTCACCTGGTCGTTCGAGTTCGAGCTGATGATGGAAGGCGCGCAGATACTCGGGTTCTTCGACGGGTCTCTGCCATACCCAACAAACGGCACACAGTACGAGAAGCAGCAGTACACCTATCAGTCAATGATGGCGTACACGATCCTATTGAGGAATATCACCCCGACTCAACAGCAGAACATAAGGTCTTACCGAGGTTACGGCAACTCCGCGGAGCTCGCGTACAACCACCTGAAGAGCCTGTATCAAGCAACAGACAGCGTAAGCCAAAGTCGGTTAATGGCGCAACTGACAACGGTTGAAATGAAACCAGGGGAGAAAGGAATGGCGTATATCAGTCGATGTCGCGAGTTGCGCGACAAGCTTCTTCGATGCGGAGGGTCGATCTCTGAAGACGCCTTCGTGACAGTCACCATCGGCGGCCTCGATCCTCAATGGCGCGCCACAAAGGCCATTCTCCGAGCTCACGGAAGAATCTCCGAAGCAGCGCTCTGCGCCGAAATCCACGCCGAGCAGCAAGACATGGACCTGCAAGAAGAACGACACAAAAAGAAGACATCAGCACCGGAATTCGCGTTCCACACTCAGCGACGCTACAACAACAACAACAACCGGCAGCAACAACCGAAGCCAGTACCTCCGTTCTGCCACATCTGCAAAACTTCAGGACACCCGCGTACGCACTGCCCAAATCGTCAACAGTCAACAACTCCACAGCGGCAACTTCGACCTTCAAGCAGCCAAATCGCCTCAACGCAAGCAAATCCCACGACCCAGATTCAAGCCTCAACGACTTCAACGGGACAACCTGCACAAGGAGCAAGAAACATCGTCAGCTGCATGGCAAAGCTGAGTGACTCCTGCATCACCGAGTCACCACCACACTACTCACCGGAAGAACAACTCGACGAAACCACACCCCGCCGCGAGTCACTTCAGCCGAACCCGACATACGCCGCCATCGCCCAAAGCGAACCATCCGGAAAAGACACATGGTTCTTGGACAGTTGCTGCGGACAGCACATGTGCTCCTCGGGACGCTTCGTTCAACGAGAACACCAACTTCAACGCGAAGTTGTCATTACAGTCGCCAACAATCAGAACCTGCGAACACGACGACAAGGCGTAGTTCAACTTCAGTCAAGGGAAACAAACGTTATACTGCAGATGTCAAAAGTACTAATCGCAGAGGGACTCGGCTACAACTTACTGAGCGTCAGTCAGCTAATGGCGAAAGGGATTCACCTCGAAGCAGACAGCACCACCCAAGAATTCAAACTGTATCATGGGAGAGGAGGACTTTACATCGGCAAGGCGGTCCTCAAGAACAACGTCTTCGTTCTTGATTTCGTCCCTGATCTTGGCACCGCCGACAGCGACGCCATCGTTAACTTCACCAACTGGACACACCCTCCAGACCTTGATCCAGACTTCAGTCCAGAAGGCTTCTGGTACTCACACACCATCCCTGAAGCAGAAAGAACAAGGGCGTTAGCAACAATTCAGACAACATCGGCAGCAGCAGAGACAACATCGGCAGCAGCAGAGACAACATCGGCAGCAGCAGAGACAACATCGGCAGTAGCAGAACCATCAACGGCAGCAGCAGGAACGTCAACACCAATTGCTGGTCCTTCAACGACACCGCTCCTCATCGACGACACACCACCGACACCCGCGCAACAACTACACCCAGCACCTCAAGAAGTTCATCGTAGCGCCAACTTCACCGCCAACTTCTACTCCAACTCCGATATGTACCGACGATCACCCGGACATCGCGCCGACGAAAGCACCTGGCACGCAAGGATGGGACACCCAAGCAACACAGTATTAAACAATACGATAAGAGCAGGAGTACTCGACAAGGACTCACTCCTACTGACCGACGGACGAGAACTTCAACGAGTACGCGGAACGTGCTTCACCTGCCCTGAAGGTGACTTACCACATCGACCGTTTGCGTCTCATCACAACCCGAGCGCACCCGCGTACGCACCACTCGAGAAGGTGTATAGCGACATCCTGCACAATCGGGAACCAGGACAAGTAATATACAACTATACAATCACCTTCATCGACGCCGCCACCCGTTACGTCTGGCACCTAAACCTCCCTAGCCGCGACATGGCATTCGCAGCCTTCGTTGCCTGGCTACCAGTAGCAGAGAGAGAATCGGGCGTGAAACTGAAAAGCTTCCAGTCAGACGGAGGAGGAGAATACACCTCTCAGCGATTCAAGCAGTACCTGGCGGAAAGGGGAATCAAGCGGCTCATCTCCCTTCCCTACGCCCATCAGCAGCAAGGTGTAGCAGAAAGAATGAACAGGACCTTGCAGAACAGCATGCGCAAACTGTTACGTGGCATGCGGCTACCCAACCACCAGTGGCCTGCGGCAATGGACCACGCCGTCATGCTGCACAACTTGCTCTCGTCATCATCACTTCCAAACAACGCATCATCGCATCTGCTATGGACAGGGAAACAGGGCAGCACAAAAATGTTACGAGTATTCGGATGCATGGTACAGTACCGACCCCCAGCAGCACGAGCGGGCCGATTTTCTCAACGAGCACAGTGGGGACTACACCTGGGAATCGAAAAGAACTACAACGCGTGGAAAATCTTCGACGTCCATTCCAAGGAAACAGTAGCAGCACGTGATGTAATTTTCTACGAACGACTTGTCAGAACATTATATAGCTTATGCTGTTGTGTAGGCTATAGTGGGGTATCCCATAAGGGGTACAACCCAATTAGGGTTTCCCATATGTACTCACTTCATTCATAGTTCAAACATTCTCGTTCTTATTTCACATGGAATCAGAGCAGGTCCCCTCCTAGGGACTGCTTCTAGGGCCCACCGAAGCGCGCCCCGAGGCGCGTTTTCCTTTTTTTTAGCGACCCTCCGTGTCGCCCCTCGCGGCCCCGCCGCCCTCCCTTCGCGGCCCCGCCACTCTGCTCAAGCGGCCCTGCCGCCCTTCCTTCGCGGCCTCGCCGCCCTACTAACGCGGCCCCGCCGCCCTTCCTTCGCGGCCCCGCCGCCCTGCTCGCGCGGCCCAGCCGCCCTCTGCTTCGCGGCCCCGCCGCCCTGCTCACGCGGCCCCGCCGCCCTCTGCTAAGCGGCCCCGCCGCCCTGCTACAGCGGCCCAGCCGCCCTCACGTCACGGCCCGCCCGCCCTCTGCTTCGCGGCCCCGCCGCCCTGCTCACGCGGCCCCGCCGCCCTGCTCACGCGGCCCCGCCGCCCTCTGCTAAGCGGCCCCGCCGCCCCACTACAGCGGCCCCGCCGCCCTCACGTCGCGGCCCGCCCGCTGCCCTACCTGCGGCCCGCCAGCCGCCCTACCTGCGGCCCGCCCGCCGCCCTAACTGCGGCCCGCCCGCCGCCCTACTTGCGGCCCTACCGCCGCCCTGCCTGCGGCCCGCCCGCCACCCTACCTGCGGCAAGCCCGCTGCCCTACCTACGGCCCCCCCCCGCCGCCCTACCTACGGCCCGCCCGCCGCCCTACCTGCGGCCCTACCGCCGCCCTACCTGCGGGAGCCGCCTAGCAGCAGAACCGCCGGGAGCCGAGCCGCCCTGCCGCCGAGCCGCCCGGGAGCCGAGCCGCCCTGCCGCCGAGCCGCCCTGCCGCCCGGGAGCCGAGCCGCACTGCCGCCGAGCCGCCCAACAGCCGAGCCGCCCAGCAGCCGAGCCGCCCTGCCGCCGAGCAGCTGAGCAGCCGAGCCGCCCTACTGCCGAGCCGCCCGACCTGCCCTGTCCGGTGAGCACAGCCCCACT